AACAGTGAGTCGCGAACCATTAGCACCTTGAAGTCGTTCTTTAGTTTTCTCAAAGTATTTCGTAGAGACAAGTCCTTCATTAATACAATTGAGATCAGCACCAGAGTCAATGAGGGTTACTGTATGAATGGTATAGTCTTTGTTGATGACAATTTTCAGATTAACATGCCATTTCTGGAATGTTGTTTGGGTCAGAAGGTTGATGTAAGTCTCATTATCCTTGGTAGGATTTTCAAAAACTTGTTGTTCAAGTTTTGCGGAGGACTTAGGTATTAAGGCATCTATCTGGGATTGTTGAAAAAGAATTTAGCTTCTGAGGGTAAGAATATCATGAGTAGTGGAATCTTTTAAAGTTTTGCCCTCTTGCTTTAGGATCTAAGTCTCTTGCTTGGTTTGTTTGATTTCTTTATGGAGGTTTTGAATCGCAATTGGCATCTAGGACTGTGTACCAAATCTTTCAAAGATATCAGTAAGGTTGTGGGTATTTAGTATAACAGCGGGAGTCTTGTCGCTCCTTTGGCCAATTTTGTTGGTGAATTTGATCAGGCATTCTTTGCGCTGATCAAGATCCTCTATTTTGTTAATGAGTTCGAACATGAATTATTGATCCTTAGTAATCATACAAATGCATTTGGTTTTGATAGGTTGGTCATCCAAAGATGGGTTGGAAAAATCAGAATCAGAATCTGTATCAGCATGATAATCATTCTCTTGAATACCATTGATATCATGTTCGGATTCTTCATTGAGTTTAAAAGAATTTCCATCAATTGGCTTCTGACGGTTTCAGGGAGATCAAGCTCATTGATCTTCTATTTGGTCCTGCAATCACGTTTATAGTGACCCAACTTGCCACACTTGAAGCATTTTATTTCTGCTTTTGAAATGGCAGGCTTCTTTTGAAAATGTTTTGGAGGAGGGGTATTTTTCTGTCTATTTTTCTTAGAGGAAAGGTATTTATCTGCAAAGGAGGGCTTGTTCTTGTTGTACCGTGACCTGTTGTCGTATATCTTGGGAAAAGGTTTCCTATAGCGGGTATGAACTTTTCGTTTGGAATGAGGGGTTAGGTTTTCGAAGCCGAATTGGGCAAAAAGATCCTAATTCCTTTCTGCTAGTGGCATTCTCATGTTTGATTTGCTGTTGGAGTTTGAAATCAGTACAGAGAGCATTTCCTTTAGCTGTGATGGTACTGATAATGTCACCATAGGTGAGGGAATCGTAAGGAATATGGCCATTGTGTTTTGATCTGAAATACTTGCGAATTCTTTCAGCAAAAAGATTGGGGAGTCCAGCAATAAACTTTTCTTTCCAAAAGGCTTGGTTACAATCAGTCCTTGTGAGGACCTTTGAGAGGAAAACATCTTTGTACCATCGAAAATCCTAGAGTTTGCGGCATCTAAGGTTGGCTAGGATTTCTGAGGTCTTGTCTCTAACAATTGAGAGGTCGCTGAGGAATTGTTTAGCGATAAAGAAAATGAGTGTAGCAACTGCATCTTCTATATCTGCACCTTCTTCTATTTTGATCGTTGTTCCTTCAGAATTTGTTTTAACAGAGTGAAGAATGGCATGGCGTTTATCCGGAGTGAGGATGTTGTCCCACCATCCTTTGAGTTGGCCTGTGAATCCTCCTACTAAGAGTTGTGCTATATCATGATCAGAGGAGTCATTCTTGGTTTTGTAAACAGTGCTGACCATTGTCATTTCTTGAAGTGTATTGAGAATGTGATACTCGGTTTTACCATCTATGTTCCATTCATAAATGGTGCCACCATGATAAGAAGCTTGGGAGAACTGGCCTCATTTTTCGATCTGGAGGTCAGGGAAAGTAGGCTTGGGATAGTAGTTTCGAGAAGAAGTTGGTTTTAAGGTATTGACATGCTGGTTCTGGAAGACCTCAGTAATTTCATCAATTTCAGTATCAGTACCAATTTCTCGGTCAAGAGTATTGATGGCTCTAAGAGGTCGTTCAGGCGTATCAAGAATCGTAGTCGTGGAAGTCATAAGGGATTCGATTCACTTAATCCTGTCCTGCGCTTCTTCAATGGTACTACGCTTTGATAATTGTTTAGACAAATGTAGGGGGATTTCATGGGGTATAAAAGGGGGAGCATTATCAGATTGAATGGGGATGATTTGTTCTTTCTGAAGCAAGGTTTCCACATGAGAAAGCTGAACGCCAAGTGTCTGGAGGTGTTGGTTCGTGTAGTTATTTTGTTCCATGATGCTTCGGATATCACGGGTTGTGGATGGAGTATTATCGGTGGCTACTGCCTTTGTCTTAAAAGGAGAAGCAGTAAGTGTGACCGTTCCTGCTGCCTTGAATTCGATTGCCTCAGCTGGGGGATGGATGGCTTCAATGGCATCACCTCGGGATGTTTGCCAGGTAGTGGTGGATTTGGTTATGACATTTAAGGATTTGATTGTTGAGAAAGGAAAATCAATATTGTTGTCAAAACAGTACTTTTCAAACTATGTGAAGAAAAGGGCTGAGAATTTGTGGTGTATACAGAAAACATACCACTCTTTTCTAATAAGGAGGGTTTTTTGAACAAAAAAGGTTTCGAAATACCATTGTCTCTTGGAATTATTGATCGCAGAGTAGAAATCTTTGCGTAGGAAGTCTTTATCGATCTTATAGACCTTTTCTATCATGTAGAGTTGATGAATCTGATGATCGGGATCTTCAAACTGATAATGGTTTGGGGATGGAGGAGAATCATGATGATCTTCGTTTAGAGGAAGATCTTGCAGATCTTTGTTTTGAAGACCAGTTTGGGTATGTAAAGGCATGCGGCGAAGATGAGGGATGTCTTCTTCTTCAGTCTGTATGCTAACATTATCCTGGTAAACTGGGTTAGTAACTTCTTTGTTTTTGACGCCAACGAGGTTTGGATACCTTGTAGGTGTCCCTGAAAATGATTTTCGGGAATGGGCTTTTAAATAGTTTGTGTGAGGGAAAGAAGCATGAGAAAAAGATGATCTAGGTCTTTCTATTTCTTGGATAGAAAGCCTATTGGGCTTGTTCGAACTAAATCTAACATTTACCGTTCCATCAGAAATTGAGATATTTGTTCCAACCTTTTATTCTCGATATTTGAAGGAGGAGCTGCATGCTCGAGAGTCCATTTTTCCGGAAAAATGACTTCATTCCAAGTGATGGTTTTTGGAACATAAGTGTGTGAATTTTCGTCACTAGCATAGAGAAGAAGGGTTTCGCCTTTGGGAGACTCACGAAGAGCATGAGGGCTGACCTGAGTAGTATAGACTTTGTAGTGGACTTTATAAACAACATTGAAAGGATGGCTCCATCCATCATTTTATAACCATTACTTGAGACATTGAGGGCTAAAGTATGGAGGATTGTTGAATCATTAAGCGCTACTGAATAATTTGGAAAACAATTGAAGTATTGTGAGCCATCAAAAAGGCTAGTTTAGCAAACTCCTAAAGAGATTTCAAAATTGAGATGCTTACAATCTCTGAGAGTAAGCATGATAGCAGTGTTAAGTCCTCTTGAAGTAAGAGGTTTAATAGCAATTTGGACAAGCCCTATATGTAAGAATTTGTACTTCTTCGTGTGTTCTACTATGACTCTTTTTTGCAAGAGTTTGATGACTTCAAAATGATTTTTGAGAGAAATAGTTTATTCAACAGTTTTGATGGAGTATCTTATTTTGAGGTTGAAAGTCGAGGATTTGTAAATATTCCTAATGGGAACCTTGGGTATATTCCAAGTATTCCATTGATCACTCTGACCACTATCAATATGTTGTTCTTCTTGGTTAACTATCACTCTTCCTCCTAGAGGAGCTGACGATGCCGAAGACATGCTACAGTTGAAAAAACTTATTGAACCTTACCTAAATGACCGTCCGTTCGACCAACCCAAAGCGGCACACCTAGCCTAAACGTGATCCAAGTCCAGAAACAGAAATGTAGAAAGGTTAAATGCGCTTAATCACCACCTGCTGGCTCTGATACCATAAGCACCCATGATAAATAACTGATAATGAACTATGATAGAAACAGAATATTGAAAATGTTAAATAATCAACGAAATATGGAAATATGCAAGTCAATAATAAATAAACAACAGAACATGAATAACTTTAAAGAACTTTGATTGAAACATGGAACTTACAACTTTGATTTTTGAATACAACACTTTGTTCCGAGCTGAGCTCCTTGGATGAAGTAAAACTAAAAACTTAAACTTAAAAATTACAATTTGAACTGAGAATTTTTGAAATGAAACTAAGAACTAAACTTGGTTCTAGCCTGCCTTCAATGTCTTGAAGAGCTGCTATTTATAGGGCCTTGAAGGAGCTTTGGGGAGCCTTGATATATATACTTTTAAAATCAAATAACAATTGTTAGGTGTAAAGTTCATATATTTTACTTAGGTCATACATTTTTCTTAATTTCAAAATTGAGTATACCTTTCACAATTTTGGGATAAACTTAGGCTGGATTTGGCACATAGGAAATTATTATTTTTTATTTTAACACCAGGTACATAGGAATGAAATGTTCGTTTCACCTGTTCATTTTTATTTTATTTTATTGTTCACTTTCAATTGTTTGTTAATTTATTGTTCACTTTCAATTGTTTGTTAAGATTAATTAAAGTTAGAATGGTTGTTAAGAAATGTTGTTTCAATACTTTAACATTCAACTATTCCAAGTTTGTGTTCACCAGATTAAAGCATGGAATTGTTTTTCATTAAGAAATGAATTGAAAATCATAAATATTTCCATTTACAGAAAAAATTATAATAATAATAATAATAATAATAATAAGAAATGACAAGGTACATGTATAGATATATATATATCTATAACAAACAGAGAAACAAAAGAACAACATAGATTTTCAACACAAGGTATTATTAGTAATTGTAATATTTAATTTAACAATACTAAATGTTGCCACGCATGTATTTTGTATTATTTCGGATAAAAAAATGTTGTTTTACGAGTTTTCCAGAAATATAAAATATTGCCCTCTCAAACCCTCTCACCTCTCTGCGTATATTTCAGATTCTCAAACCTGATAACATTTTATCGGAGTGCTTAAAAAATGGTGTCGATCTACACTTTCTCACATTAACCTAAGTATACTATCGATCGGGTGAGGGGGAGAGAGATGGCACCGCAATATCCTGATCTGCGTTCGTATGGAAGCTCAATGGAAATGACTAGACAGCCCTCACAACACTCGGACAACGATCGGAGCAGCGGAGAGTTGCGCGCACTGGATTGCAACCTCACCTCCCTCTGCGATCACATCCAATTGGAGGGCTTCAACAATGGCTCCTTCTCCGACATCGTTGTCCACGCAATGGGCTCCACCTACCATCTCCACCGTCTAATCATCTCCCGAAGTTCTTACTTCAGGTTTTGTTCAATTCAATCAACTCCTAAACCTCATTCTCAATCTCATTTCAATTATGTGCATATTTTGTATTTTACTGTAAATATTTCAATTTGTATATTTGGTTTGTGAAATATAATTGTGTCCCGTGACATCCATTATTTATTTAATAGCTATATATTTTAATAATTGTTCACAATAGTTATTTGTTGCCTTTAGACATAGAAAATTACACTCTGGCGATCCTCATATAATTACATATGTTAGTATTCGAGTCGAGTCAAACGATTATTTATAGACAATTGTTCTCTTATTAAATTCATTAGAAACTACTTAGGGAAAAAATTCATTAAAAATTTGGATTCGAGAAGAGTGTAGTAGTTCATGGGTACAAATACATCTCTCTATACATAGGTTGATAAATGTTAGGAAGACTGTTATTCACAAGATGAGCATAGAAAAAAGGAAGTTAAAGATGGATCACTCACAATACAAGATAATATAATAATAAGATAAAGACAATGCCATATGTTGACTAGAAAAAGTGCGCGAGTTGAGGCTTGAAAACAATTACGTAATGGATTACAATTTAAGATGATAACCCTCAGCACAATAGGATCATATAATTTGATTTATTCTTTTTTCCCTGCTTGTGTGTGCCATTATATATTCATATTAATCCAAAAGAAGAAGGGTGCAGTGTGTTCATGGTTGTCACTATCATGTTTTTTATTTAAAAGAAAAAGGGAGGTTAAGTTAGTTTAGGAGATTTGAATATTTCATGGTACCAATGATGTGCCAAGCACACTGTGTGCAAGTGAAAGGCTCCAAAATGGTAAGAGAAGGGGCCGGCGGTCATAAACGTAGTGAGAAAGTAATTTTATTTTATAAAAGAAAAAGGTAATGAGAAACGATATTATCTATGCATTTTAGTGAATATGATTGAGCTGGTTGCTTTGCTAAATATGTTGCACAAGAAGCATCACTAATACTGAGAGGATATTTTGGGTACAGAGGATGGTTAATTAGGCTACTAATTGATTTGTTAATTTTAGTTAGGAATTATCTTTTTCATTTTAATTAAGTTTTAGGTCTCCTTAGGTCCTTTGTCTGGATAGTGTCATTTAAATATGATTTTTAGTATGTGAATTTTAGCAAAGTTTAACTACTTCTACCTCGGTCTTCAGGGTCTTACCCAAGTACAGAGCACAAATACACGCAAATTATTGTATACCCTGTGAGCATTATGTATTTATGATCCTTTCATCTGAAGATTTTCAATATTCATTATGATTGCCCCTCAATTTATTTGTTCGCGAGAAGCATCCCTAATTCAGAACATAGAGAAGCATGGCATTAGAGATATGTTTAGGAGACACCGAATTGTTGGGGTGTGGTTGTGCAGGGTTAAGTTGGGTAGGCATAATTGCTTTTCTATAAACTATATGCAAGTACTTGCTCATGTTTGTGTCCGATGAGCAAGCTGGTACTGATGGTTACATTTGAAGTTTTGAACAATATTATATAGTATATATTTTTATGTATTTATAATTTGCTTACAACTTACCAGGTGAGATTTTTTTTTTTTTTGCTGTCATATTATGTGTCTGGCAGGAACATGCTCTATGGTCCTTGGAAGGAAGCCAATGCTCCAATTGTGTCATTGCAAGTGGACGATAAGAATGTTAATGGGGAGGCAATTGCAGTGGCTTTGGCTTATCTTTATGGGCATCATCCTAAGCTTAATGATAATAACGCTTTTCGCATTCTTGCTGCTGCTTCATTTCTTGACCTTCAGGTATTCCATATTCATGATGAATACATGGTTTTTGTGTTTCTTTCATTCTCATTCTCGACATAGGATTCGTAATACCTGATGGATCTTACTATTCTATTCATTTCCTTGATGATGTAATGCCTTCTTTTGTGTGCTCTGAATTACACCTTTAAGATTTTACATGCAGATATATGTGCGGTTTGGACAGGTTTCCTTATATCTGAACTGTTTTTTTTTTCATTCTTAATTTAGACCTAAGATTCAGGATGCATGATGTATCTTTCTATTGTATAAGTTTCCTTCATGATATAATACCTTCCCTTTCTTGCTCCGAATTACACATTGAATATTTTTTGTGCAGGATTTGTGTGCAATTTGCACAGATTTCATTATATCTGAACTGTGGACTTCGAACTTCTTAGCATATCAGGTTCATGATGCTCATGTGGCTTTAGTGTTTGTTAGTTACACGCTTCTGTTCCTTTTGTTATTAACTGTGTCTGTTCATGATTTAGGTGTTTGCAGAGGGCCAAGATTATGGTATACATGGAGAGCGTGTTAGAAACGCTTGCTGGGGTTTCCTTTGTCAAAGTGGTGCCATGGAGTTGAAAGAGGTAAGGGCCTAAGAGGTGGAGATATTGCTCTTGAGTTACTTGTGGTTCATCCTGGAAATTACAGGATAATAATTTATACTGCATTGTGAAATAGAAGTACATTGCTATGGCTACGATATGGAACTACACCGTGTCTTAACAGAACAGGAACTAGTGTTGATTGGATGGACACCCAAAAATCTGTAACTGGTGGAGGTGGAATCAATTGATACCTCTATTAGAGGAATCTGTGAACCGTTCCAAATAAACACACCCAATAATGCACTAGTGTTGATTCACTTCTAGAAATGATTACCGCTGGTAAAGTGAAATCAAGTAGATACACTGTACCTAAATGTTTCTTAGTTTTCAAGCAATAGACTTTGAGTAATTCTACTCCAATAACTGTCCTGAATGAAGATCTCTTATACTTTGTTCATTTATATTTAAGATTTTACAAGTTATGTTCCTGTCGGAAACTCAAGTTAACACAGCCCAACTCAAGAAAGCTGTCTTGACTCCTACTTGGCTACATGAATCGTGCTCAGTCATTCCTTTCTGTGTAGAGCAATAACTTTAGTCAAGCGACACCCTGTTATATATATTTTTATTTATTTTGACTATTTATATGAACTCATAAAAACATGTGAAGTACTCATGTTAGATATACAACACATGGTTATAAGTATTGGACGTCTTACATTTCTGGTTGGGCATGCACTGTAGGCATATATCAATGTTCCGAGTTTATAATAATTCTCTTTAAAAGTCAAATTATTTTTCTTTGATTGAATGAGCTCTCTTTCAAACTGAAAGAAATTCTGATCCCAAGCTTATCATCACGTTCAGATGAGTGAAGTGCCATGTTGAGACCTCTATGTTACATTAAAATGTCATTTTATTTTAGAAAAATAAAATATAATATTAAAAATATCAATATAGCCATGTCCTTTTGTCCTAGAATTCGGTTCTGTGATAAAATTCAATTCTGACAGATGCACCCACCTGAAATAAGTACAGTAGTTCATATAACATAAATCTCAACCCATGTTAGTTTTGGCTTTCCCTTCCATAGTATAAATCAATGTCAATTCCTACCCAATTGAATATGAATTTTAGGTTGAAGATCTGGGAAGAATGCTACAGGTTTCCATTTGAATAGATATATAATCTGAATCATGGTTCTGTAAACCCATGAGTTTTTAGTTGGTAATATTTTCATTGTTCCAAGCGATTGCATGTGGTTTTGTTCATTTTGGAAGATGGTAGTTAGCATATGCCATATGGAGCAATTTAATGTTTTCATACGAATTATAAAGAACTTACAAAGTGAGCAATTTATGAACTGATCCCATTAATAAATGGTTTTGGCTGTGTGTTCTATGAATCAACTAAACCTGACCTATTTTCAGCTCTATGGATCATTCAATCGATGTACATATTTTTTATTAAAATTTTTCATATGAAGTGAATACAATGATGAGTGATCTATATTGGTATCATTGTTCATTTTCTAATGATATGCTTTACAATTTAAAGTCTCATCTTTAATATAATTTGCAAATTTGGTTTTCATATCATTGTTTTTTATGTTATTCTTGGGACTTGCAATACTTCCATGAATGGATTCATTGTCCAAGACTCCAGGTTCTCAGAATATAGTTTGGTTGAATGATAGTGCATCTATTGTGTACAATTCAGCTTATGTTAGTTCCTATATTTCTGATTCCAAGTTTTTCAACTTTAATAGTTTTTCCTCTACTTGTTCTTTTTCAAATTGAGATTCCAGTTTGCAGTTTTCACTTCTTGAAGAATCTATTGTGTTATGTTTATTTCAGATTCTCAGTTTTGCAGAATTTGTTTCATTATTAACCCTAAGAAATTCCGATCAATTATAATTTGCATTGTCAATCCTCCATCAATGATAGGTACTTCCAAAACTTTCCTCTCAAACTTTGCATGCACTACTGACCTCGGATGAACTGTGGGTACCTAGCGAAGAGAAACGGTAAGGAGCATTCTGACTACCTGTAATCTTATTTCTCTGATTCAAAAGTTAAATTTCACTGAAATTGGATGACACATATTTTCTTTTGAATCAAAAGGTTTGAATTGGCAATGTACACACTTCTTGCAAAAAGTGCTTTGTGCAAGGCAGAACATCCTGAACAAGTTCATTCCAGTTCTGAGGTGGGAATGAGCAGTTGTTGCGATTCTTCTAAAGTAAAGGGAAAGAACTTGATTGATAGCAGCAGTAATAAAAGTTTGGAATCTGAATTAGGGCGCTTAAGTTTAAAAGATGACATTGAAGGCCATAATACCGCACATAACATTTTGGTTGAGCTTGCAGATTGTGTGGTTGATTCCCACAATGGGGTTCATGATTCCAAACAACAGGTGCAACAAGCTGGTTGCACTGAGTCAGATTTGGAGCCAAGATACCATCACAGCACTGAACAACTTCCATCAGGCAACTCATTTTCATATACAGATGATATTAGACCCTCTTGTTCTTTTCTCGAAATGCCAGTTGGTGTTGGAGTGAGTGGATTGAGGGGTGATGGTGTCGCCATGGAAGGGCCATCTGAAGAAGGATCATGCTACCAATTGAATAACAACAGTTGGCTTGCCAGGGACCAAAGGCACTGCAGTTCGATGAGCTCTTCCTGTAATGGGTTCATTACCAATGAATGGGGAAGGTTTGCTGTGCCTTCTCTATCATGGGGTGGTCGGATTGTAGGCCGAAGAGAAGGTAATGCAAGAGGGAATTGTGGGGTTGGTGGGGAAGATTATGTTGTGTTTGTCAATATTTTTGAAGGGGGTTCTCTTTTATACTGTAACATGTCTTTTGAGGCCCTTCTAAATGTTAGAAAGCAGCTTGAAGAATTGGGATTCCCTTGCAAAGCTGTGAATGATGGTCTTTGGCTGCAGGTTTGAATCTAATCATCTTTTTTTTCTTCATACTTTGCTTGTTAAATAGCTTTTTATAAAACGGTCCATGGAGGATGAGAAGAGAGTCCATACTTTCTGATGGAGCTTTGCTTGCTGTAATCCAGCAAGGTGCTTGATACAAACTCTAGTGGGTAACATTGGTAGTCTCCTATGTCAAACTTCCCAACCATCTGGTCTGTTGAACTGTTTTTGAACCACTAGGGAGACTGTGTTACTGTTAAATGGAAATGCTAATTGGTTCAGTTTAGGAGACTTCCATTACGGACCTGCTAGGGTGGGTAGAAATCTTTTTTGTTTATCTGCCAGCACCAGAAGTTCTTCACATCCCAATACAAGCTATCATTTATTAACAAACTGATGTCTTTGTTTGAACTCTGATAAGGATTTTTTTTTTTTTTTTTGTTTTTTATTTTTACTATGAGTTTCTTCTAGATGCTTTTAAGCCAACGGGTGCAAGAAATTGGTGCTGACACTTGCAAAAATTGCTGCCTTACGACTATGGCATGCGCATGCAGGCAGACAATTGGATTTTCACATGGAATTACTTCCACTAGTTATTACATGCAAGAGCATGATCAAAATAACCCATTGAGCAATATGGGAAATGTATATGTTACTGATTCTGCTCAAGGTGAAGGAAATGGCCTCTTTAGACCTGTACGAGTGCATGTTAGGGGACCTATTGATGGACTAGCTGGTATTGGACGTGGAACTACATTTGTGCCAGCAGCTGCTTGGCCTCCAACACGCTTTGTCTTTTCTCGTGTGCCTTTTGGTATGGGCAACAGAAACTGCCAGCAGCCTCCTGCTAATGATGATTCTGAGCCTAGAGCTGATCACAATGGGGAGCTGGCTGGAGATGGATTGACAGCTTTGGTTGGACTTAGCCAAGGAGTGAGCAACGTAGCCAGTGTTCATGGGGAGCAAATGGGAAGAGGGTATGAGACAGATCTGCAAAGCAGAATGGCTGGGCCTTCGGTTACCGGGCCAAGTACCAGTGGTATTTCTTTGCGGATGACAGAGTCACAGGAAAGTACCATTGGGATTGAATGGGAGAATACAAACAGTTCTATATCATTGGATATGAATACACCTCTGAGTCACTTCCCTCCCTTTCGATTTGCGTAAGTTATCCTCTTGCTTGAGATAGTAACCTCTGCATATTGCAAGATCAGTATATTTATATATTTGAAGATGTCAAGCAGGGCAGCTTCCACGGTCTTTGTCAGTACTGAAATTTGGTTGATGCAACCAGTGGTGGAATTTTTAGCCCCTAAATGAACTTAAACATTATTCACTGTGTTTGGAAAATTATATGATACACTCGCCGCCTAACCCAGTTTTTCATCTATATGAACCGGATTGGTCTGCTTGAGCTTATTTTCAGATAAATGACTTGAAACATAAGCAAGCCAAATCATTCCATTTAGGGCACTCTTCAGAGATATTTTTTCTCGTGTTTAGCTCATGGTAGGTTATATTGGCTATTATTGTAATCTAAGCTCTTCCACTCCTTGGTCCATTTTCTAAAACTCAAGAACTCACTTTTTTTTAATATTTTTTTTAATGGGATTCTGTTAATTGGTATGAGCGATAACAACTGTTTAACATCTGCTAAACATCCTAGTGTAATATTTGATCATGATTGCTAGTTTCAAGGCTCTATCTTGATGATTATCTGTGAATATATATTTTTTCTAAGTTACCTGCTTCAGCTGCTAGAAGAAAGCCTTTAATCTATGTTGTGACAAATCTCTACTGGTTCAACAGGGTGGAATTTAAGGATGTGCACATGCTCAGTGATGGCCAAGTCAAGCACTCTCCAGAAGAATTTTATGCCGGTTCTTTGTGGAAGGTATTTGAATATTTTCTAGTCATTCTGTTCGTTAAACGTCTAGAACTACCTTTAAAATTTTCTGATCAACATGATTAATTAATTTGACTTGCAAGAAAAAAAGTTGATTAATTTGATCTGTTGCATCATATAGGTTAGTGTCCAGGCTTTTAATGATGAAGATCCTCAAGGACGCCGAACTCTTGGTAATTTTCCAACTAAACCAATGATTTTTTCCTTCGAAACATAGAAATGATCTTATCCAAGTGATTGTGTGTCAATGTAAAAACGATTTTTCCACATTTGATTGCGTCAATATGCAATATTTCAGGATTATTTCTTCACAGACGGAAAGCAGAGATACTTGATCCCCTTAGAAAGGTAAGCCTTCCTCTCATTTTTTGAAGTATGAGGTGGTCTATTGGATCAAATCTGTAAGGTGTTTTATCACCTTGGACAGAATTTTTTTTTCCCGTTCTTGTGATGTCCACCCATGATAGTCAACTTAATTTTTTATGGCCGTCATGCTTTTTCCAATTAACTCAGTTTATATGTCCAATGGGCCAAATTTCCTTTTTATTATTCTAAGTTTTAGTCATTGATTAGTACGCTGTCAAATTTTCAGGTTCATATGTATGTGGATTCTCGTGAAAAGGTCACTGCCCGTTATCAGGTGAATTTTAGTGAACATCTATCAATTTTTTTGCCGGTCATGTTATAAAAGTAACTTGTTCAAGGATACTGTGTTTAACTAAGGGTATCTTGTACCTTCAATGCACAGTTGATCTGTCCGTCAAAGAGAGAAGTCATGGTGTTTGGAAGCTTCAAACAGACGGGAACTCTTTTACCGAAAGCTCCCAAGGGATGGGGTTGGCGCACAGCTTTGTTATTCGACGAGCTTGGCGATCTTCTCCAGAATGGGGCTTTGCGAGTAGCTGCGGTCGTGCAGCTTCTTTGAGACGGTCATGGTAGCGCTCTGTACATATTTGAAATGATGTCTCAGATAGAACCACAGTTAACCTATACTTGTGAGTTGTGCCTCCAAGCAGTTGTTTACGCAGTTCAAGGACTGTAAACAGAAATTTATATCCCAGCATTCACTATTTTATGCAAATCTTAGTGATTAAAATATATTTTTGACCTTTTTTGAAAATTTTATTTATTACTTCCCAGTGCAGCAAACCAAAACTGCACCCTGAGAAGTGTGATGTGATCTATTTTAGTGTTGTGTTTGGGAGCACCAAATTTGCGACTTGAATTTGGAATTGAAATAAATTTAGTTTAAAGTTTTAATTGATTTTGATCCAAATAAGATTCAATAGCTCCAATATGTTAAAAGGATAATTTATTAATATGTTTCACTATTGTAATAGGACAATTTATACTTGTAGGATGAACAATATTATAACAAAAAAATACAGTTCTAAAATTTGGAGAGCCAGTTGTGAACATTATGCTTTAAAACTTTCAGAAAAAATTTCTCTAACACTTTAGCTAGATTTTTATTTTTAATAAAAAAAAGAAGGAAAGTGTACAAACAAACCATTTCAATCTGAAATCGCGATTCAAATAAACAAAAATTACAATTTCATAAATCAATTTTGATTATGAAATTTGCGGATATACAATTGTTGTGTTCGGTTGCATAAAATGGTACATTAAAACTTAAAATTGGAGATTTTTTTGTTCGGTTGCATAGAATTAACGTGTTGAAATCATGAAATTGACGTGTTGAAATTGAAATTATAGAAAATTTAAGACACCATTTTCATGCAATTCACCTAACATTGATTTTTTTTGGGTTAATTACAACGACACCCCCTGAAGTTTGACGTAATGACAACTATATATAAGTTGGGCCATTTTTTAACAATAACACCCCTTAAGTTTGATAAAGTTTACAAAAACATTCCAGTGGTCTTGACACACAGTAAATTGACATTATTGCCCTTTAACCCATTAAATTATCAATTTACCCACAAAAAAAAAAAAAAAAAAAAAAACAATTCTTTTTAATTGACTACAATACCCTAAGACCCACCCCCACTCGTATTAAAACACCAAGCACCCACACCCTATCACACCCACTGCCACCACTACACAGCTTCACCATAGCCACCACCACCTATATCATTGAATGCTAAATTCTAGTCAATTAAAAAGAAACTTCGCTGGCCAGAATCTTTTGTTTCATTATTGACTTTTGATTGGGTTCATTTAATCTAAACTTTGTTGAATAACATTTGATTAGTTTGTTGTTAGAATCTATGATGATCGTGGTTCAATTTAGAGGAATTTATTTTGCCAAATTCTGTTGTGTGTTATGTAAAGTTTTCCATATTCTTAAAATTACTGATGTGCAGACCCTTTAAGTAGCAGTGAGCATAATTTTTTTTGTAAATTCTTTAGCCAAAACTCTGCTTCTATTTTCTGCAATTATTGTGTTCATTTTATGTTCCCACAGTGCGAAGGTTGGTATATCTTAACAAATTATTGTTGAAAACATTTTATTATATCAAGAAATCCGTTGGATAAGCAGATTCGCATGCCCTCATCTACATTGCCAGTGGCCAAGATGGATCATCTCCATTGACGATCCACGGCGGCGAAATTGACAACAACGGCGGTGTCGGTGGTGGTGAGTGGTGATTGGGTTGATTTTGATTGGAGATGTGAAAGCCTTTGTGGTCGTTGAGAGGAAGGACAGAAGGGTCTGTCATCGCCGGCGACGGACCAAGAGTCTCTGATGGCCACTAATCAATTGGGGTTTGATTGGAAACCTAGGCAGTGGTGAGTGGTAAGTGGTGGTGGGTGAAATCGAAGGGATGGGCTTTTTCTTGGGTTGTCTTCAATTAGGTGGCGGGCAGAGGTTGGGGAATTGGGTGTGGTGGCGGCGTCACTGAGCGTGGTGGCTGCTAGTGCTCGCTGTTCTTCCTTGTATATATGTGTGTGTGTGTATATATATATGGGGGCAATAATGTATACATATGGGGGCAAATTTGACTTTTCACGAGTTGATGTTTTGCATTATCACATGGTGTCTTTGTTAAAAAAACAGCTAAGTTATACATGACTTTCAATACGTCAAACATCAGGAAATGTGGTTATAATTAACCTTTGGTTTTTTTAGTTTATCAACAACAAACATGTGCTCTTAAAACATCATTTGGTAAAGATATAAACTAATCGTAAACTGAAAATAGTTATAATAAAAATAAAATGAATGAAAGAAAAATAAAATTTTCATTGCAAATGATTGACGGTAAAATATTTTATGATTTGAATAACATGAAACTTATTATGATAGAAGGGGTGTTATTGTAAGTTCAAATAATTTTTTCAAGAAATTTATACATAAAAAATAATAATAATTTATTTTATTCAAAATTTTATTAAAAAAAGTTAGTGGTTTTGGAAATTATTTTTTCCACAAAATTACCTTTTCTGCTAACTATGACTTGGGACCCAATCAGCGAAAATCAAACACATGCTCGCGAAAACACCCGATTGCTTCTCCGCCGAACCGCGAAAGCGAAAACCCCTAAAATCGATTACGATAATCGATTGATTCAAAACTAGTAACGACGCTCACAGTTCCTCTCGAAATCAATCTCCAGGTGAACTAGCACAGGCACATTCTCTTCTCTCACCGATTTTCTCTCTCTCTCTCTCTCTCTCTCTCTCTCTCTCTCTATAACTCTTTTGTAAATTTCTCTCTATATATTGATATCTCAATTATTATTATGATTTTGTTTTATTTTGGCAATATATAAGGTTTTAAGATCTCGAATTTACGTTTTGCGAACTCGTGCCGATATTTTTTCCGGATAGCCTTCCAAAACCTACTGTTATTGCTCTTTCCTTTTTCACGACTAAAACCCTAATTTTGTTGTCAATTATAGGGTTTTGTCCTGAACAATTTGTTTTATATTGGATTACTTTTCCAAGTTTCGAATGGTAATTTTTGCTAAAAATGGCTACAGTAAGATTGGGCACCCTATCTTTCTAGGGTTTACTCGATATAGTTCATATTGATGGGTGCCCTAACGAGTAATCGAAAGCGTGGTGACGACTACTTCACATTGAATTACAAGAATCCCAATTTATATTCACTTGATTTCGACCATCTATTCGATTCTCACGTTTCTAAGAAGCCCAAATTTTCATCGTGTACGCATCCGAGTCCAGAGCGGCCTGTTTCGTCAAAGAGTGCAGCTTCAAGAATATATCGATACCCGGAGCCGATATATCAGTTTCGGAGAGAAGTTCATGCGCCCTGTAGGGTGCCCAAGTTCGGGTTCGCAGCAAACTCGAATAGAGAGTGGAGGCCGAGCACTAGTGGTGTTAGACACGAGGAGGTTGTAGATGATGAGATGGGAAATTTTTTTGGAAAACATTATGAGAATGCTAAGAGCACAGCATTTGGTGCTTTACGGTATTGGAAGGAAGATAAGGAAGTGATTGATGTCGAAGCAGAAACTGTCAAGGATGATATGTCAGAAGATTCGAGCATTGAAGAGGTTGAGATTTTGGAAGATGGGGGAGAGGGGCAGTCCATGGTTTTAGAGAGGTCAAGGGACACTAATGGTGTGGTTTTCAATTTACCCAAATTGGATGGGAAGACTGCGGAGCCCAATTTTCACCCATCTTCCTCTTCGGTGATAACAGATTCGAGGAATGCAAATTTGAAAGTGGACAGCACGGGTAAGATGTTGGACTCGCTGTCATTAAATCGAGAATTGGATGTGCCTATTCACAAAAAATTGCTGGAAAGTGTGAAGAGGCTGACCCCTAAGTTGAGCAGCTTGAGGTTTCAAATCGAATTTACTGAGAAGCGCCGTGCTTTATATCAATTACAGCGTCCTGTCACTCCCGTCAAGAAACCAGATGAGGTGAAACTTTGTATTTGCCTATTTTTGGGGAGTTCCATGGTACTGTCATTGATTATTTCTTTATATTGATATTGAATTGTCTGGCTCTCAGGATTTATTGCGAGAACCTTTTGTGCCTCTTACGGAGGAGGAAGAGGCTGAGGTTTCTCGTGCATTTACTAATTTTAACCGGTATGATTTAATGCATATGTTATTTGCTATTGAAATGGGCACTATTTGTACTGTGATTCATTCAATAGTAACCTCTGCAGGAGGAGGGTTTTGGCCACCCACGAGAACTCTAACATTGAGATCACTGGAGAGATGTTGCAGTGCCTGAGACCAGGCGCATGGTTGAATGATGAGGTTTTTTTTTTTTTTTTTTGCCTTTTCTGTCATGAATTTTAAAGATGTAAAAAGTTTCTTGATTCAATGGACATTGTTATGGTTGATTGAACTAACCAGCTAAATTTTTGAACTTGTAATCTAGTTGTAATAAGAGTGCACTTTCTTCATTTATAGGTCATAAATGTGTACCTTGAATTACTGAAAGAGAGGGAAAAGAGGGTGCCCAAGAAGTTTTTAAAGTGTCATTTCTTCAACACATTCTTCTACAAAAAGGTTGGTATTGGTCTTTCTTTTATGTTTTCTACCTCAATGAGGTGTAGAGTAGGATGGTATAATATTTGTCATGTGTTGCTGCATGCCTTTTGACATTATTTTATTGATCCACATGTTTCATTCCATTATTTCTTTTTCCTAAAGCATCCTTTATTATCCATATTATTTATTTTTATCAGTCTGACAATGTTTTTATTTCTTATTCTAGCTCCACCTGCAACTAGATTTAATTGACATGAAACAGTTCTTTTTGTTTCTCATGTCGCATAGAACTGGTCATGATTGTGTTTTATATCCTAGCAGATAGTATCCAAAACAGAAACATGTTTTACAGTAATCAGTTTTTTTACCCCCCCAAACTATAACTATAACTTTCACATTACATTTTCATTGAGTACAATATATTCATAGTTGTCTTCAACAAGTTTTCATATTTTGAAAATGTTGCATTATAGCTTCGTTATTTATGCCACTAAATATGTCTCTCTCAACATAATACATAAGAAACTATTACATAACTGAGAGAATCAATGCCAATGTCACAAGGAAATAAACTAATTAATTCACATTGTCATTTTTGGTTTCAAATTTTTTATTTTTTATTTGTCGTTGCAAGATTACCATTCACTGGTACGACACACACACACACACACACACACACACACATATATATATATATATAGAGAGAGAGAGAGAGAGAGAGAGAGAGAGAGAGAGATGTGATGGTTGTGGGAGGCTTCGGGGCAGGTATAGATACTAAGAAGATTGTACGTCTTGATCTATCATATACAATGTCATGGCTCTGTGCACATGAAGCGAGCTTTTTGCCAGTTATTGTTATTTCAAACATTGTCGAGAATAGTTCATTTCATTGCCTGTGTATGATAATTTCTATGCATCTTGGGAGCAGCAGTTAGAACTTTCTGTTATTTACTCTTTATCTCCTGAATGTTGTTGTGGCCTTATTAGTACTTTACTGTTTTGTCATTATTTGCGAATAATCAAGTTCAGTTGAGTTAATAATTCTCCCCCCTTCCCTACACCCAGCTAATAAGCGGGAAGAGTGGCTATGATTTCAAATCCGTCAGAAGATGGACTACCCAAAGGAAGTTGGGATATTGTCTTCTTGAGTGTGACAAGGTAAAGTTGTGCCCCTTACTATTTCCATTAATTACCTTTTCGTTTTGTACTGTTGGACAGTGTGTTTATCTCTATTGTTTTGAATAATATGCTCAGATCTTCGTCCCTATCCACAAAGAAATACATTGGTGCTTAGCAGTTATAAATAAGAAGGATGAAAAGTTCCAGTATCTTGATTCACTCAAAGGAATTGACACTCATGTGCTGAAAGTACTGGTATGCTTTGCACCTATGTTTTGACTACTGTTGGGATGCAAGAAGTGAATTGAATGCTTATTGCCTGGGAATGCTGTGTGTGTGTTTCTTTTATTTGAGCTTGTCGCTAAAGTGCCTTCTTTCTCCTGCTTTTGGAAGAAAGAAGGTCATCTGCATGCGTGTGTAAAACAAATGCCATGTATAGTCTAAATTATGTGATATAATTTTATTGAGGGGAAAAACAGAGCATGCTTATATGAAACATCTTTAGGCATGAGTATCCTGTGGTGCTGTAGACCTTGATGACATTATATGTTTTGAGTGTGGATCAATAAATATAGATGCAATATATGCATCATGACCACGCTTTTCTGGGGAGATGTCTAACTGTCATTTAATGCTTTATTTAGATTTGAATCTCTCATTTTTAATACTTAGATTGTGGATAATTTAAAATTGTTTAGAGTGCAGGTAGGTATATTATGCATGTTGAGATATATGCTGTGATCATATAACTACTGCTCAAACTAGCTTGTCCCATGATGAAGACGGCATGTTCTATTAATTTTTGAGTTGATTCTTTCTGTCTTCCTTCCTCAAGAACTTATACTATGTATAGATTGTGGCTGTTGGATGGCTCCTGTTATAATGATTGTCCATGTTATGCCAGGCTAGGTACTTTGTGGATGAAGTGAAGGACAAGAGTGGAAATGACATCGACGTTAGTTCTTGGGAGTATGAATATGTTGAAGACCTACCTGAACAGGAGAATGGGTGCGTATGCTTATTAACTTTGTTCCAATCAATGCATTTTGTTACGAAATATTATCATATAGAATTCTAAATAAACATATGATCTTTTGAAGAAGAAAATTTGTTGTGAGATTATAGTATTTTGCCAGAAAGCATATACTTTCAACTCAATAAAATCTCATTTCAACTATTTAGGGGCGGCTCAAAAGCGTATTTTTTGTTACTAATAGAAAAAGGGTGAAGGGATACTATGCATAAATTGATCATTTAATTCCATTTTTTTTTTTTAAAGCAATTTTCCATCTCTGAACATAAAATAGCTGTGCTGAAAGTAACTGTTAAAAGATGAACTGGCTCAGAATCCTCTCGTATTCGGCCCACTCAAGCACGTTTAAGCTTGCACAGTAGAATGATCTGAGTTGAGCAACAACGTGGTCGATCAAATAGGATCACAAACATACAAGATGTAAGGTTTAGGGTTTATTGATCATTTAATTCCTTTTTATTTATTTATTTATTTATAAAGCAATTTTTTATCTCTGAACATAAAATAGCTGTGCTGAAAGTAACTGTTAAAAGATCAACTGGCTCGGAATCCTCTCGTATTCGGCCCACTCAAGCACGTTTAAGCTTGCACAGTAGAATGATCTGAGTTGATCAACAATGTGGTTGATCAAATAGGATCACAAACATACAAGATGTAAGATTTATAATTTTAATCAGATTTCGACTGTGTCCCAAAATATTTGTCCATGTTTGGATGCCCCAAAATTTATGTCCCATTTGAGTAGTCAAAATGAAAAAAGATCGCATTTTTTAAATATCCTTAAGTTTCGGAAGTTCTTCCAAATTGAAATGTAACTTTTCGAAAGTTCTAAAGGTAATCATCCTCCAAAGGTCATCGTGTGCTGGTCCTGCCTGCATGGGGTGGTAGGAGGGGAAGATTTGAGATAGACTGATTTCCAGCATTATATTTGCTCAAAATGGGTTCTGGCGAACTTGAATTTTCTTCCTCATGCTTCTCTGCCAGGCTTTTATCATTACACCAATCAGTGACCCCTCTTGCTGCTCAGCTCTATGCCCAAAATTTCTATTAGATTAAAAGTTATCATTTTTTGTTGCTCTTTAGTTGGTTCACTTTCACTATGGCCTTAATTCCTGTCAAATTATAGGGATTCTATTTTCTTGCCAGCAATCTCTGCTTTCCCCTTGCCCTTATGGTGCTTTGCACTATATGACATCTCAATTTGGTGGGTGGTGATTAGCTTTGTTGCTGCATCAGATTACCATATCAGCTGACATTTTATTGTTCTTGATTGTTCGTATGGCTTAAAAGCTTTTTTTTTTTTGTTGCATTCATATCCTACTCTCTCGTCGTACCATATTCCATTTAAAACTTAAATGGGGTACTAGAGAAATTTCATAACCATGGAAGAAGAAGAAAAAATAAAATCAATGAATCTGTGCCCACATGGACAAGATGGAGATGCACTATTGAGATAATCATTCACGATATCAGTTAATGTTGCCCTTATTTTATATAGTGTAGAAAAGGATTTGGTTCGCAGGTCTGTACAAATGCCTACAAAAAGACGGTGCACTTGATATGTTTACTACCAGAAACAATGAGCCTGTCCAATGTGTAGTAATTTCCAAATCTCATATTATGTTAAATGCACGTTCTTTTTCTTTTCCATTCTTTCTTCCTTTATTTTTAATTGTATGGCAACTTTGTCGGAAGTGTTTTGCTTTTTCTACGTGGTCTCCTTTCATGAAACAGTTGTAATTATGTCTGTAGTCAGACTCTGCTACCATTTCATTTGGCCATCATTTCATTCTTATTTTATTTCAACTTTCACTACTCACTAGCTATGATGTAGAGTAAAAAATTGTTATTCGGTTAATGAAAAGAAAAGAACTTGGTTCCATCAGTCCTCAGCAGCTCATTTTTCATGCCACTAGTATGTACTTTTATCTATTGATTAGGATACATGGCTGATATATGTAAATGTATATATTTTCTTAACAGGTTTGACTGTGGCGTGTTCATGGTCAAATATGCAGACTTTTATAGCAGAGGTTTAGGACTCCATTTCCATCAGGTAAGTTATGGAATTATGCTGGTAACTTTTTGCATGCTTGTATCTTTTCTTTAACGTCTAAATGTTTTACTGGTCGCAATGCGGCTTCAATGGCTTCATCTAGATGGAGTTTATGTGTTTACTAAATTGTCTAGCATGGAGATCCAGCAGGGATTTGCTGTATGTTGTCCATCTGTGAATTCCAAAATATGGAATGAGGGTGAAAACAATGTCATGAAAAATTAGAAGTTTGGTGGAAAATATTTTGCTGCAATCCTCATGTTATTGACCATGCTTGTTGCAGTAATGCTCTTTGGAATGAAAATATCAATGCAGCTTCTTCTCATTTGAATTGAGAACATTTAAATCTAATTTCCATTTTGTTGTGAACATTGCTTCATCATCTGTAAAGATATGGTTGGCAGAATGAGAAGTTAGACGGAGAAATTAGGTCATATATATAATTCCTGAAATGACCTATAGTACCAAGAGCAGCCATTTTTGATATCTTGGACCTGTTCCATAAGCAAAAATTAATGATGTTCCTCATAGATTTAGAGCAGTATGGTTGATATGGAGAAGTGCTTTAGTAATGTGTTGTGTTCGAAGTGTGGCTTTGATGATGAGCAGCATCACTATAGATCCTAAAACTATTCCCCTACAAGGTGCTGTAATGGCTTTCATTTTCCTTTAGCTGCACTCGTGATGATGGATTTGTACCTAGTAATGTTATGTAAATCCAACTCAATTAAAATAAACGGAGCCTCACCTCAATACTTGTGTTAGCTAATAGCCTAATGCTGTGCAAATACAATAGAGCCAAGTTAAATTTATGTGGGATATCCATACTCGCACTTCATAAATGTATCTTTAAACCAATGAACTTCTTGTGGTGCTCATCCTCATTCCTCCTATTGTTGTATGGAAACCTCAAAATATGTTATATACTTCTAATCTCTCTCTCTCTCTCTCTCTCTCTCTATTTTTTTTTTTTTTTTTTTTAAATTTAATTTAATTTTTTATTATTTGGGATGTAGGAACACATGCCATATTTTCGGCTAAGGACTGCAAAGGAGATTCTAAGATTGAAAGCTGAGTGATGATGTGAACATGCTTGATGGATGCCAAGCTGTAATTCCCATAAACAACCACTGGCAGATAATGAATCTGCATCAGAGGATGGATGATTTTGAAGGTCTTTCCTGTGTTTTGGAGAGGATGCCTTAACCATTAATCGGTTCCTGAAGTGATGGCCGGTTGGAGGTATGGTTGGGTATTGCTGGTTTTTTGAGCTGAGCGGTCAAGATTATCTTGCCCGGTCAACCTTAGGTAGGGCATAATTATTAGTGTATGAGGGAATACTGGCAACAAGTTCCAGTCGTGAGTTGTGGAACTAATCTTTTTGCAGGTTTTTGAGTTAGGTTGTTTACATCATTCATTTTTCTTTCCAGCCTTGGTCTTCTGACCCTCCCCCAACATATATCTGTGGTGATTAAATTCAATCTCTTGTTCTAACCATTTTGGAGTCATTTTACAATTGTAATTATAATCTTCTGTTCTTTGAGAGAAATGTGAGTTACTGTTTTCTAGACAATCGTGGCCACTTTTCATGTTTAAGATTTCTTTTTTTTTTTTGATGATGTTTCCATGGCCTTAGAAAGGTGATCTGATCTGTTGTAGTAGGATATCAATGATGGGGTCAGTTATATCCGAGGTTACCATCAGGTAGTGGACGTGTAAACTATGGTGTGTGACACTAGTTCGCTAAGCCTCGTCTTGGACATGCTCATCTTACTATTCTCTTTAAGTATACTATGGGCTTAAATTTTCCAATTCCACGACAGCGTCTCCATATTTGTGCAGCCGGTACTGCAAAAGGAAAGCTTTGAAGGTAAGATGAAACACTGTAGCTGATGGTTGTGAATACACTACAAACTCTCAATGGTTGACATCTTGCCATACATTTTTATTGAATTGTGCCTGTGGCCGTTAAACTAACCTAGTTTAACGCTGAAGATGAAAATGTTTGCAAGTTTTATTGTCAATTGTATTTGATAATAGTTTGCTTCATGGCATTCTCAAGTGCATTTGGGAAAAAGGGTAATGGGGAAAGAGAGAACGGAAGTGTTGAGGGGTGTTTGTTGAGAACCAAATCGGGCTTTGTTATCAATGCGTTGGTTATGATAGAGAAAACATTGACATTCACCTGATATTTTGGAAATATGAACGAGAATTCACAGACTGAATTGGTTTAGGATTGAACTTCAACTTTTCCTGATTTCATACCATTTTGAATTGAGAAGACGAAACTTGGCTTGGTTGGATAAAAGCGTGAGCTTTCTGAGCTTTCTCCATTCTTCCTTGAGGCTGCGGTTTTTTCATGTAACATGTACGTATATGTATATATTATTTTTACTTATTTGGTGCTTGACAAATATCTAGGCCGAGGTTGAATCCATCAAACGAAGCATGTAAAATAACTTTTGAAAACCTCAACCATAGAATGAGGCGTGTATTGAGAATTGATGGGTACATTATTTTTGTTAGATTGTAATATATTTTTTTGACAACCAAACACCAAAAAAAATAATAAAAATAAAAAAAAAAATCTGAAAAATATTTTACAACCAAACGAACGGAAAAATCTTTATTTTATATTTTGTAATATCTAAAACTAAAATGATGCAGTTATTTTCCTCCCATTCCTCAAATTATCATTAAGTATCATAATTGAAACAAATGCAATTCTTTAGGACATCCATTATAGGCAAGATCACATATATCATTACACAGAAATCACTAATAGTATCTATTTCACCTTTCTTTCAGAAAAGAAATTTTTGTTCTGAGATCACCACCAGAGCCAAACACCACTAGCCCATCAAAACTTGGCAGGAATAATCGATCATATTCCACAATGTTTCTACTGAGCCTGCAGTGCCTTGGTTCCTCCTACAAAAGGAAAAAGTGAATATCACATTACTCCGCTCCAATTCAAAATTTAGTATCATGAAAATTTTCTCCACTAACAGTCATGCATATATCAGATAAAAAAAAATTAAAAAAAAACTCCTCTATCGAAATCTCCTCTTAACAGTCGTGTATATATGAGATAAAACAGAACTCTTCAGAGAAATAACTTTTTAATAAGAAGAGATGAGTGGCTTACAGGGAAGGAAATTGAAGCGTTTGCTGCATCAGAATGGCAAAGTACTGCCTCAGCGGATAACTCTTTTTCTACTCAGTATCTCCTGTTCTTTTAGCCGATGCTGGAACCTGGCAAGGCGAGCTTGAAGACTGACCAGACTTGCTGCTTTGCGTGAGAGTAAAAAATTCAACTGTGCCACGTAATTGTCAATCAAGCTGCCTGGTTGGTCTACTTCAGCCAGAAGTTTCATTTCCTGGTATCCAGAAGACAAAAAGGTTATGCCAAGACATAATCGACATAATCTTTTTTTCCTCTTTGTTAATATTTCTCCTCTTTAATCAACGTTTTAACATACTATATGACTAGGAATGCAGTACCAGGAATTCAAGGCATCTATTAGAAAAATAGTATAAACAAGCAAAGGGATTGTCATAATTTAATTTTTTTAACCATACACAACCACCAACAAGAATTTGGTAGGCAATTAGAACATTCATATGCGTACTTTTTTGATGCAAACAAGGCCATTCCCTAGTAAGGAAGAAAAAATATCATAGTTCACATATATATAACACAGTTTGCCAGCAAATTGAGGTCCTTGTTGATAGCCATAGAAAGGCTAACTCGATAACTATCATGGGATGTTCAAAGTTATTATCAATTATTGACTTTCGCTATGGGCTCAATAAACTAAGCCTACAACAGTAACATCGACAGTTGAACAAAAGGTAACTTTGATCAGTTTCCAATTCACAAGACGTCCTAAGCTATTATCATACTTTGGTTGTATGCTCAATTAACTACCACATCCAACACAGGCAACCCTGGATAAATTTTTGTACACAGTCTTGTTGACAATTGGCATGTCTCGACGTCCTAGGAGATCAACTAACGCCTTTTTATTGCACACTCTTTTCCCTTTTTTTCTTTTTCTAATCTTTCTCTAGCACTTGAAACCAATATATCCATTCAAAATGAAGCAGTCAAATAAAATCTTTTCAAAATGTTAAATGAAAAACAAAACACAACCATTTATTTCCATGGAATGTCTATGCATTCTATAAAACTCAATTGAATCGAATAACAAAGTTCAGAAGTGTACAACAATCAAAGCAACCAGATGGTAATTCAAGAAGATAAAATCCAAGAGGAAGACGGAAAACTTCACTTACTTCGTGAACTATCTCCATTGTGTCCTCAATTTCTTTTCTATGGGCTGCAATCAGGGCCTCTTCTTCCTACAAAATCCAAGCAGGATAAAAAATATTGAAGGCATCATACATAGTAAACGCTTCTAATGAACAAAACACCGAATTAATAAACAGCATGACATCAATGACTAACCTGGAGTATTTCATTGATATTCTCATCATGAGTAGGTCCAGGTTCATATTGTCTGGATGCAACATTGTTTGCAACAGAATTGCTCGGGTTTTGCTGCTTGTAGCTTGTAGGAAGATCCGATCCACTGTTTTCCTTTTTCAGCCAATTCCCCAGTTTTTCGGTTTTCTCATCCTTATTAGCCTTTCCTCGAGGCGGAGATACCTTCTGCGCCTTTTCTTCTGTATCAACCGAGTTCTGGGAATATGAAGATGAATACATCTTTTGAGTTGTAGAACCACCATAAACATTTTTAATATCATTCCTCTCCCTTTCCACAGCACTAGAAGTTACCCCGCTTTCATCCCTATAAGCTTTTCTTCGAGGTGGAGATACCTTCTGCACCTTTTCTTCTGTATCAACTGAGTTTTGGGAATATGAAGATGAATACAACTTTTGAGTTGTGGAACCACCATAAACATTTTTAATATCATTCCTTTCCCTTTCCACAGCACTAGAAGTGACCCCGCTATCCTCCCGCCCATTCAATTGATAATTTGATGGAAAACTAGAGGGCTTCTTGTCAAAATCAACAAGATTGTATGACAAATTTTCTTTTTCTGTGACCCTTCTCCCTGTATCCACTACTTTTTCTTGATGTTGCTCATAAACTTCCTCTGCATTAGCAGATACAGGGAAAGATGATGCAGATGAAGAATCCTTGTTAGGGGGTGGTACTTGATCCTTTTTCGCATTTCCACTTCTGGAAAGACTTTTAACTCTGTTCATTTGATACCAATTTTTTAGCTAAAAAGTACAGACAATATTGCTCACAATCACTAAGATATATATTTTTATTAAAAGATCACACTGAAAGTGAACATTACCTATCAGCATATCTTAATGTATTGAGTGTATGTTCACATGAACCTGCATTCGGGGAAATGCAAGAGATCATAACAGTCCTTGAGTTGCCAACAAAGGAGTCACGAAGCACCTCAGTTAGTTTGCTCCCACGAAATGGAATATGAATTTGGTCATTGTCAAGGGCACGAATACACTCCTTGAGAGCCAAAAGGCTCTTGTTAATTTCAGCTCCCTCAATCCTGCAATAAACCAAAGCGTTAGTATCTGAAATTGAAATAAATTCATAGGTAGATACCATTATCATTAAGATATTAGGCAAGTAAGCAACTGTGATACAAAAAGGTGGTGGGAAGAAGAACAAAAAGAACCATCCATTTCACTACAATTTTGTTCAAAGCAACATCTTGAACACAAATATTGTTATACAGAACTGGCAAAAGTAAACCCAACCAAGAATACAACTTATTAGAAGATGCAGGATTCGGGTTATAATGGCACAAAGCATTGATAACGATCAGGGCAGTTAAAAACTGACCTGATCCATGCAGGAACCAGCCAGTGTTTTAAAAAAGATATAATGCAGAGATATGCTATATGGACCTGGCTACGTGTATCGGGTGGCCCAGGCACATCCTGTACATGTATGAATTATATGTTACAAAATATTGTAATGCATGCTGTTATTTAATAATATACTTTATTAAAATTGAAATTAAAAGGGATGTAGTGGGAAAAAAAAGAGTTTCATCTCTCACTCTCCCCATGTGAGTAGGAAACATTCCGTGCGATCAATTGAGTTTTTTCTTCATTCATCACATGTAGAAAATCAGCATTTGATTTGAATTCATGTGTTGGACACATGCAATATTTCTGTTTGACAAAGATACCGTGTGGAAAGTATATGCAGTACAGATGCACGAATGACATACATAACCCACCTCAAATACAACAGATTATTTTTCTGGATTTAAATGTAGACAATGCATCAATATCCATCAAGGTGTGTTAAAAGTGATCCGAACTGGGAAACTTAACGAGTGTTCAAAAGGGAAACCATGCGTATGGATGCTTTCGAACATTTCAGAAGGTTCAAAACTTAAAAATATTTGGCTTTACGCAATTCATCAGAAACCTAATTCTTTTCTTATCTTTCTCTAGATATGTCCCTTTCAACTGTTAAATTAATAGAGGATGCGTTGTGGACAACTCATTCAGTATCCACTCAGGTTGCCTCTCAACTCACTCCACTAGCAGTCCAATCAGTTCTAGGGATGCAGATTAACTGAAAAACCTTCCCACTGTCGTCTCTAACTAAATCAACAACATTAAGAATTCAGACCCACTGAATTTTTCGTGTGCAATCCTGGCCAATTTCACTTCACGTTCAGGTAATTCATCCAAAATTCATTGCAACTGAATTGATCAGAACCATTGCAAAATCCTTTCTGAATTCTGACCAAATGCACCTTCTAGAAAGAAATGTACTGATTTTTTCCTTAATAAGTTAAAAAATGAAAGATACTGGCCACTTCTATGATAAAGTTTACTTTTTCAAACAAAACCACAGCAATACACGGTACGGGGCAGATGATTTTACTATTATAATTTTGTAAAGCAGGGATGAGCAACAAAACTTCGGGTCACAGTAGCCTGTGATTTATGAGATCAGCTCACTTCCTGCAAGAATTATTATATTATCTGGTAGTCTGAATCCTGAACTGACATTTGCAATAATCTTATGCTTCCACTCAAAACTAACTATACCACATGACTATCTTTGATGCAAGGATGACTCATTAAACATAAAAGCCACAAACTTCTGTACTTCGATTGCATATGCTTGTGGCAAGAATTTGACACAGAGATATAATCATGACCATCCAGCAAAAATAACTTCTATCGGTGAATCCTCCCACTGTGCAGCCATAGAGTATATCACAAACATGTGCCATACTACAGCCAAACAATTGCAACTATTTAAAAGCAAGAAAGTCATGATAGTACTTCTGTATGCATGCATGTGCGCATGAATTTGTAGAAATATATACCGTGTTTGTCGGTCATTATCAGTGGTGTCGGCACCTCTTTCACTACCAGCAAGATCAATAAAAGAGATCTTCCCCACAACCTTCCCACCCTTGGACTCATTTCCGTCGTTGTTCCGCTTGGAGTCTTTGATCTCAGCATGCTTCTTAACAGCAAGTTGTAAAATGGCATGTGATCTTGACGATTCCTCATTGGCACCAGTGGAGCCTGTACTTCTTGATGCATTCCCCCTCTCAATATATTCTTTAACAATCTGTACATCTAACACTTCAAATTCTTGTAGTCCAACAATGCACACTTGTTGCCGTCCATCTTCTCTCATACAAAGTTTCCTATATAAGAAAATTAAAGAAGCAATTACCAATCAATACAAAAAAAATTTGCACCCGCCAAGCATCAACAACAAACAAAGCCTTTTCCCAAATAACTATAACAATCATGTATTTTAGGTAATGGCCTTAGTCAAACCACATGTAATATCTTTCCTTACTAATTCTACCCAAGTTAGTTTTGGTATTTCCCTTCCCTTTGCATTATCTTTTAGGCAGACATGTCAGACTTCCTAACTGGTGCACCATCAAGCATTTACACAAATTGTGTTTATGTAGGTATGCTAAATTACTAACTCATTCAGATATTTATATTTTAAGGGTCATTGAATGGTGTAGTGGCAAGAACTCCAGCTATCTAACATGGACTTGAATCCTAATAGCAACCACTTTTATGCAAATAATATCAAAAATCTATATCCAGTCCACCCCACCCCACCTCCCCAGCAGCAATGATTAACAGGGACCACACTGCGTAATGACCATTTTTGTTTAACATAGAACATATAATGCTTGTAGGTGATTTAGGAAAAAATATATATATAATGCTAGTAGGTGACCAGCCCAAATCAATTCTGCACTCCATCCCTCGGTAGACTGATTCACAAACTAAACTTAATTGCACAAGCTTGGACGCATTACGGCAGAAATGATGTCTAATTTGACATACATAAGTAAACACAAGATGCCTATAGGTGAACAAACCAACAGAAACTTAAAGTCCAATATCTCTATTGAGCCAAAAACTCCAGGAAACATGTTCATAGCATTGAAACCCACCTACATACGCACGCCAAAATCTAATCCCAGACACCAACTAAAATGCATCAACTTAGAAAGGAAAATATACCCACTTAAGATGGAAAACAGTTCGGTTACCAACTCACCCATTTAAAAAAAGAAATATGAAGATTGTTAGACAGTAGACTAAGACTGCAGGGGAATTTCTTTTGAAATGTGAAAAGGTGCAGATGACTTGTAAAAACATGCTATAATTGCTCTGTTCCAGGGCCATAAGGTAAACAAGAGTTGCATCAGAAGCCAAAATAAATATCAGTACTCACTTCCTATCATTGAGAAGATCAAAAAGTTTTCCGCCATATATCTCAAAATAGCTAAGCCACAATTTGAATCTCTGACTGCGATAAGTTGGCTGATGCAAGAATCTGACGAGGTCTTCTGCAGCTCTAAGAGGCAATGGTTGCATTGTGAACGTTTTACCACTCCCTGAAATCGAATAAAGTAGCATTTTGTCATCAACATCAAAGTTCAGAATCACTTATAAATTTCAATGACAGTCAGCAGCAATAGCTAGATACTGAGAATCAAATCAAAGAGAAATAAGAAAAACGTTTATATGTGATATTGGACGCACTGAACTGGATATCCATTTTTTTTTTTTTTCTTTCAATAAAAAGATTCATTGATTAAATAGCCGATTCTCAGTCTCTCACAACTTTTCCTATTCTATAATTACAATATGATATAATTTTAACAGGAAAAACTGTTCAAAAATCCTCTCGGGGCCACTCCCAGGGAATTTTCTGGTAGTTGCGTGGTGCATGTGGGACAGGGGAGGTGGATTATGGGGTGCTCTAAGAGGCCCGATACCACCATCATCGGACAAAAATGTTAAAAAATCTTAACATACAGGAGCCAATCCAAGATATACAAGGTCAATTATGAAATTTCAATATCACAAGAGGTAACAGTGAACAAAATTATGTAAAATAACAACAATTCTGTCCTAAAATTCTAGTAAAATACATTTGATTGAAGCAATCAGTAGCATATTTAATTCTGAACACTAGTTCAATGGGAAAAACATGAGAGAGAGAGAGAGCATGAAATTATATTAAGAAAGAGAGCATGAAGGTAAAATGGACGTTAAAAGAGAACCCAAACAGCATGCAACTCACATAGTTTCCGGTCATAATGAGATATACCTATCAGAGGTGCACATTAATTTCTAAACAGAACTGTCATATATTTCCGTTTTATAAAAGCTATACCAACAGGCAGGAAGAGAAATTCTTGGTGCATAATGGAAGTCCATATGGGAAGAGAGAAGAAAGGTCTCTGCATACCTGTCTGACCATATGCAAAACATGTAGCTTTTGTTCGCTGAAATATGAAAGGAATAATTGGCTGTACAGTAGCACGGTACACCTGTTCAAGTAAGCATGAAAAAGAAATTTAATTTCAATCTTACAATCAGAAGAGTAGACAAACTCATTTGCCAGGAACAGAAAAAAACAAAGACACACACAGAGACCAAAGTAATTTTGAAAGAAAACAGCACCAAATTAATGACCAGAGTTTGTATGTCAAGACAGAAATCTCAAGAAGCTTAAATCTCTAACAAATGGAAGCATTACCTCGTCATTGGTAACATGTTCATTTAGAACATCATCAAAACAGAACTCATGCTTCTCCACATAGGCAGTCAAGTCAACCTTTAAAATTGTCGCTAAAAGTTAGTTCTTCCCAAAGAACTTAACAAGGAAAAACATAATTCAGTACCAAGATAGCAACAACCCATTTTACAGATCATATTAGCATTAATATATATTTATTGTGCTTTTTTTATGGCTGTGATGTTTTCAGACCTTTAGCTTGGTTTCATGAACAGTTAAATAAGCATTGTCATACACAGATACAATGTCCTCCTCCTTACGAGTAACTTCCTTCTTGTTTAAAGGTCTTTTACGCACCTGAGACAAATATCAACATCAATAGTTTAGACATTCTCCCAAATATAAATAACTTGAATCACTAGCTCAAGGATAATCTGATAGCAAAATAAGCATATTTCAAATATAAAACAATACAAGAAGGCCACAAACATCAACCACTTACTTGCATATTATGCTCTCAAGATTTGGTACAAGTAAACCAGAACAAATATTAAGATCAAATTCTAATGAGAAGAAATCAACATACACGAGAAGAAAATTCCCTCAAGTAACAAACCCACTTATTATTCACTCATATAGTCATAACTGAGGGTAATGCTTTGGGAAAATCGGAATACAACAAGAGATATAGTGAAGGCCGAAACTTTAGATAAACCAAAAGGGGTAAAAATTCATGACATTGATTCGATTATTGACAATGAGGGAGAGATTGGAAATGACATCTCTCATACAATCAAAACATAATGAGTTAAGAAGTGGTATGCTTCTAGCACATATTGCCAAATCAACATACACCCTTAATTTTAAACATAAAAAGTAAATTTTATAAAACGGATACCTAGAACAGTCATGCTTTGTGAGATACGAATTTGTAATTGGCATATTTTATTGTCAAAACGAGTCCAATTGAGTTGTAAATTTTCAGTTCGACCTGTCAAGATTCAAGATCGGAAGCGGAATTGAAGAAGTGATCGTGTTCATGCTTCGATACACTCTGGGATGATGAGAACAACGCTTTAGAAAGGTAAGAGAGTGTGAGGACACTTAGGAGGTTCAATATTGAGTTTCTGGGAAGTTTACATTCTACCTAATTTGAACTGGTTCATGTTTCTTGGAACAGGTTCAAGTGTCAAAGTTGGTTTGCAAGAATTTACTACTAGCCAACTTGAACCAATTCAAGGTGGCTGAACCGATTCAAGGTCTTCAAGCAGTTTTGGTAACTTAATTTCCTGATATGTTTTGGCTTCCTATTTTGCATAGATTTTTACCATAATGATCATGCACGAAATTGACTTGTTTTCCAAGTACAATTAAGTTTTCAAAAGTCTATAAATATATGTTTTCTCACTCAAACTTTTAGGGCTTGAAAATATATATTTTTTTAATTGAGAGAATTGTTTGAGAGATATTTTTATTCAGAAAATCAATCTAATTTTTCTGATTTTATTTTTGAGAGCACACACATAAACACAAGAATGATTTAGGAGTGTTGTTCTCTATCTCATCGGAATTGGAGCATAATTTTAGAAATTCCGAAAAGCAAATCTATTCATTCTTCATCAAATTCAGAACTGAAGAAAAGGGGCGATTCGATCACACTTTAAAGGGGTCAAAGCATTTGTGGAGTGTTGTTTGATCTACCAGCAATCCTACTACAAAAATCAAGAGTAAGCCTGAGGTCGAGAGTTGTTAGACGGGGGAGTCGCAAAGTCAGGGATTGTCAGCGATTGGTTTTTGGTAAAACGATAGGGTGTGACCCTGAGTCAATGTTTAGTGTACTTTGCTTCAAACATAGTGGATTGTTTTGCTCTGGATGACATAGTCCACGAGGTTTTTCCCACAACAATTGGTTGATTTCCACCACGGGTTTCCTCGCTAAAAATCGTGGTGTCATCTCTCAAACTTTATTTACTTTACTTGCACTTTATTTTTACTCTCTGGATTTGATTTTAGTTTTATTTTGGTAAAATTAAAATAAGTAAAAATTGGTTAAAGAAGCAAGTTAGACCTATTCACCACCCATCTAAGTTATTTTTAATACAAACTTCCAAATCCTATTCCGCTGCACAACTCACAAGATAGAATGTTGGGCAGTTAAACAGAGCATAATGATAAAAAGGATTCGTGTAACTGAATTCAAATAGTTAGGTAAAGACTCTGTTGAGTTGAGTTGAACCTTTATGTAGTTGTGCAACTAAAACAAAACATTCAAATATCACATTAACATACTAAAAATATTTTTCTAGCATCTAGATTAATTTCAAAAATTAAAGGCCATGCAAGTTGCCTGAGAGTCCCCATAAGACATAAGTAAAAAATTCTGCTGCCAATATAATATAATATATATATGTGTGTGTGTGTGTGTGTGCGCGCGCTTTTAAAAAACAAAGAGAACCATGAAAATTTTCAAATCAAACTAAAATTATTTCTTTCTTTTTTTTTGAACAACATTCACTAAGAGTGCATGGAGAGGGTGCAACTGGGGATGGCAATTTGACCCAAATAGCTAGGTCCCAGCCCCGCCCCTAATGGGATGGGTTTGAGGGATTTAATCCAAAGTAGGGGAAGGTTTGGGAGGAGAGGAAAACCTCCATGGGGTCAGGGAAGGAGTTCCAGCCCTAGCCCTTTAATATAATGAATCTACAACAATAACCTTTTACATGGACTTAATTACTAAAAACTATAACTTATATAAATTGTTATGTTAACCTATATAAACCGATTTCAAATCTTTAATAAATATATAAGTTGATGGAAAAAAAGGTTGCATCTTGAACCAAGACTCCGGTGACAGCAGAGGCGGGTGGTTCATCTCAATCAAGGATTGGGATGGGAGGTTCCCCCAGATGAGGCAAGGGAGGGCCAAGGGTAGGGAAGGGGGCCCATTCCCCTACAACCCCCAATGCCATCCACAGGTGCAACCAGTATGTAGCACTTAAAGTACTTGTTTACAAGCCAAAACTAAACAAGCTGTCTCATTTCCAATAAGATCCGCCAATAAACACTAGGGTTTTTTCATGAAACTACATGCCAATATTAAAGGCCTATGTTCATTACGCATTACGTTTTAGTTTCATGATCAGATTGCATCAAGTGTGTTGTTGGGGGGGGGGGGGGGGGGGGGGGGTTGAGAGAATAGAATCAACATACCACAACTTTGATCTTGGCCACATTGTTTTCCCTTGTATTGCTATCCTTTTCAACTATAGGTAATCCAACTGAGGCCACAGCATCAGGCTCCCCTCTTTGCTGTTGGCTGGTCATCACACTGAAGTCACCGTCGAATGCTTTTGTGACAGCAGGCATAAAAGTCGATGGCTCAAATGGTTCTGAGTTTACATGCTGAAAAAGGAAATGAAACAACAATCTGTTAGCAAAGGAAAGAAAATAATATGTAAAAAACAACCATAGATATTCTCTCAACCACACACACACAGACACAAATAGTAAAGCCTCCAATATAAGATGAGATGATTAACCAATTCATCAGTTTCCCGGTTATAATATAGCCTTCCACAGCTACTCACAATATAGTTTGAATATTGTCAGTAATTACTCCCTTTCCCCTATCCACAGTTCATGAAATAAATTACTGCAATGACAATACGATTAAAAGAATGATGCAAGAGAAGGGGTTATACAACCAAGAAGCATCTTAAATCTCATTCCATCACCAATAGATCATTTACTAAGTTAGACCAAGATTAATCAAAACATGTTAAAGCAGTATAGAACCCTTTCTATATCATGAACTATAATCATTAATAGTTATTAATCAATCATTTATTCACATATTGAAAGAATAAGAAAAAAAATATACGTGATAAAAAAAGAAATGTTCTTTTCCACGTATCCATAGTTTATGAAACAAATTTTGCAACAAATGATGCAAGAGATGGGGTTGTACAACCAAGAAGCATCTTAAAAATCGCTCCATCACCAATTGATCATTTACTAAGTTAAACTGAGATTAGCCGAAACAAGTTAAAGCAGTAAAGAACCCAGGTTTCCTTAGCAAATTTGGGTCTGCTAGGTCTGTAACTATGAAAACAGTTTTCTGTTATCTAAAAACAGAAAAACAGTACAAAAATCTCTGCTTGGTTCAGTTTTCAGAAAACTGTTTTCTAAAAACTCAATTATAAAAATGTCTGTTTTCAAATAACTATAAAAGATTGTTCTCTGAGAACAGTTTTTTGCTAAATTTTTTAGAACTGTTTTCAGAGTTACAAACCAAGCAAATGCTTCTCCAAAAATCTCAACAAATCAATTACTGGTGCTGGAGCTAGAGCTAGAGCTTTACTCAATTAACAAGGCCCACAAGTTTAGTTCCAAAATTCTATATCTACTCCTCTCCTGAAAAAATTAAAATACTGGGTGATTGAAGCCTGATAATCTCAGTAAATTTCTTCATTACCCAAAACCCACACAAGTTACCCCAAAACAATGAAGCATAAAAGTACATTCTCCAAGTCGTATCAAGATAAAATAGTGAAATAAAGAACTATGGATACTTTTTAATAATTTACTTCCGATTCTTCAACATAATACTGCCATTTCACACACACACAATTCCCCCATATAAAGGATCCAGTTTCAGACTATTTAGGGTGATTTACATAAAAAATGCACTTTCACTATCTCCTCTTTTATAGATGATATGATTAACAAACAGAAAATTGGAGCTCTGATTTCCAAAGCCACCTATCCCATGATTTCCCATAGAATGCCACAACAGAGATGAGCAAAACAGGGGCTAAAAATAAAAGTTTGTTGTAAACAAGGCAATGAGTTCAAGTGAACAACTATAGAATAGGAGGGATAGAGAAATAGATAATAGCATATACGAATTATCTACAAAATTCAGTACCTGGAACACCAATAATCCCCCCAAGAATTGATGCCAATACAAAATCAAGGTGATTAACATTAATACTTAATAGTGTAATAAATAAATTAATTCTCTTTTACCCAATTAAAAATCAAATGACTAATACTTATTCCAAGAAAATGTGTTATACATAAGAGTCACTAAGCTGCTTCATATAATTTATCCCTTTACAGTGTCTCCACTTAGTGCATTTCATATCTTCAAATATAAAAATATACTTTATCTTCTTATTCCCTCAAACAAATCCCATAAGTCTCATCAAATGCATATTTACGACATTAAATTTAAAAGAGAACACTAGCCAAGAGCATTGCCATTCCCAAAAGAAAAACTGGAAGGCCTCCCCTAAACTTTTGTTTTGAGTCCACTGATTTTACTGCATGACGAGGCAAGGCAGTTTCTTACACCGAAAAGTAAAGAGGTGTATGGCAAGTTAAACATATTTACCTACCATCTCTCCTAAATAATCAATCTATGCCCTTCAACAGAAGGCAGTAGTACAAAAGGAAACTACAAATTGTTGCTTCAAAATGCAAAAGGATTAGTAATATATATAATCTCCTAGCTATTTACATGCATTTGCATACCTCAGTTATAAGCTCAGTGTCATCCATAGCATGAAGATCCAAAAGCCCTGCCCCAAAATCACCCCTGAACTCCGGAGAGTATAAACCATCTGATGCAGCCATTCCACCCAAACTTTGGGCAGTTGGAGTGTACAGTTCAGAACCAGATTCTCCATTAAAATTGAGGTTTCTCATTAATTTGAAAATCCTTTGTTTCTCTTCAGCAGATTGCGCTCCATAACCCTTCAAACAGTATCAAAACAGACCCATCATCCCATAAATTTGAAATACCATCAAACTACATAGACAAAAAACACTGGACGACAAATAAACTCCCAAATCACAGAAAGCAAAATTATGATGTAAACACAACTCGACTCCACAAACCCTCGAAACAAGCAACCCTAGAAGTGGTCAATTTAACTGGCTATCTGAACTGACACAGAACTCCGTACAAACATTATGCGAGGCAAGTACAATCAGCATAGTGAAAACTCTCCAATATAAATCAGTCTTACATTCTTCAACAGGTAATATAAACATAAATAGCATTAATGCCAGTTTACAGACTTAAATTAAATTGTTTCTGCAGTGTTTATACTATAGTACAGTTCAAATGCAGTTAGCTTTGCATTCTCATTTCAACATTCCGCTCAACAGGTAAATTAGTCTTGCATTCTTCTTCAACAGGTAATAGCAGCTTTGAACATGCATTTCAACTAAAATTAGCTTTGCATTCTGATATAATAGAAAATACAAAACAAGCATATGGACATTGCAATGAATTAGATGATGGAGGGGCAACAATCTTACCTGCATAAGGAGGTTGGGCAGAAGGCGATTATCAATCCCTGTGGAAGCCAAGGGTGAGGCCAGATGCTGCAAACCGGCAGACTGTAGCCACCGAGCCATGACCGCGTCTCCAGCATCACTGGCGGGAACTGCATTGTGCAGGGACCCTCCACCAGAGTGATCGTACAGAGCAGTCGCTGCAGCACTGCCCTGTTGCATCTGGCCACCCATGTGGCGCTGTGATCGGCGTTGAGGAGCCAACTTTCAAGATCTATTATTGATCAATGCTTCAAACACAACACGCAGACACAATTAAATCAATTCAAATACATACGTAACAATTACATATCATCCATTTGAATAGATAAAACACTTAATAAATCTACTGATGCTAAGCGAAATGCACTCACAAGGAGGAGAAAAGTCGAATTCAAAGCAACGCATGAACGCGTTCGCGCGTGAAAGATTCAAATCCACAAATTCTGAAACAAAATCGAGTCTGATCGCAATCGTCAAACGCAAATGGTTCGATTCAACTGCGGCCCTACAAAATTAAAGAAAATGCAACATATAGTGCTACATATTTAACAGAGTGAAATCGAAGACAAACGCATATACATCTATACATATTTACACTAACATGTAGAGAGAGAGTACCGAATTCAGACGAAATTGAACAATAATTCAGTGAATCTTTGTTCCGGTTTATTGAATCAACTAGTTTAAAATTGGAATTGTGAGTAGATCTGAAACAAATGGATAAAGCAAAACCCTAATTTCTTAATTCAAACTAGAAGAGAGAACGCTCCGGAGAATCTCTTCCTCCGTCTGAAACTTCTTGCGAACGATAATTGCAGAGCCTCCACGCGAAAGAGTACGTGTTCACATAATTTTACTTTCTGAGTTGTGAGTGACTTGTGACAGAGATATTTCTATATATTGAGGGATATATTTTTCAAAAACATTAAACGGCTATTTCTAATTTAATTCAAAAGAGACTTAGACAGGTAAAGAAAATAATTAAATAAAAAATATTTAAACGACCGGAACGCCCTTCATTGTTTTAACCATATCAGAAAAAATACAAGTCCTGCCAGTTGTTGGGGTTAGTCAATGACGCAAGAGCCCTTCGTGAGCAAAAGAGTGCCAGAATATATATATATATATATATATAATAGTGTACTCATTTATTGGAAGTTAGAAATGTCAATGAGAATTAGTCCAACTAATAGATTACATTGAACGCAAATTAATAAAAATTTGAATCTTGATAATAAAAAACAAAAAAAATCACGCTTCAAATCAAAATAACTATTTTCGATATTTTGGGTCAATTATATAGAATGAGGGAGATATATACCATGAGACAACTAATGGATGTGGATTAGGTAGGCAAAATGGAGATAAATTATCGACTTTTATGCGACAAAATATATACTATATATATATATATATTTACACAATGAAAATTCTATAGAGCTGTTATTATACCAAATTTTATATAGCATAATGGTGTGCTTTAAAAAAATAACAAGAAGTATATGTATGGTCAAAGTGACTACATAGAGAGGATTATAAATAATAGTAAGAAAAATTATGAATGACACCCACTAGTTAAAAAAAGAAAAATGATTCTAAGGTTTAATAGGCTAAATTATTTGTTTAACCTAGCATGAATTGAGACTCATGAATTAGGACCCAAACATGTTTTCAGTCCAATATCCAATAAATAGGCTATAGATACGTCAATAAGGAGAGGAATGTTGTTTCTCATAAAAGGTAAGAGACAAAATAGCTATCAAAATTAACTTATTATGAAGTTATTAAAAATTAATATAATGACATGAAAAAAAATTTAGAATGTGTTCGGTTATATGGAATTGAAACATTAAAATTGGAATCAGTGAAATTTTTAAAAAATAATTAAGAAAATTAAACCAATTTTTTTTCAAATTTCACCAATTATAATTTTAAGATTCCAATTCCATACAGCCAAATACACCTTTAATATATTTTTAGTAATAAAGAGAATTAATGTGTAGATTGCATTCATAATGGATTATGATAAAGATGACCAGATGCTGATAATTCTTTTTTTCAATTTATATTCAAACTAACTATCTCTTAATTTTTATAGTTGTTTTGTTTTATAAATCATTCCCTCTCTTTATTATTTGTTATTTCATTATTTATCTTTCTAATCAATTTTCACCAAAACCAGACTTGGAGCGGTTAGTTTTTACTGTGTTAATTGTTATTTTATCCATCGATTTTTTTTTTTTCGCACCCTAAAAGGGATAATAAATTTATGATATTTCAAAAAAATAATTAAAACAAAAATTAATTCAAAGATTAAAAGTTCTGATATTTCATACAACAGTGAATGGGTGACAATTTGTATTCGTGGGTCATACCTAACTGTAGGTACAAAATTTCGCTCAACCAATAATGACTGAGAAAAATAAAACAACTCACTCAAAAACAATAAAAATAAATAAGAATAATGTGTAGAGAAGTGTGGAATTGCTTCATGCTTTATTGGAGGTCTTAGCCTCTATTTATATACAAAAGATTGCAAAATTATGGTAAGACTCGCGTTGCTTGCCCTCCAATTCTTTCTATATCACCATACTTTTCTAATAGAGTTCTTTCCATTGTTGAATTTTCCATACATAGAACTTGCCTTGTACAGAACTTCCTATCCGAATCTTCCTTCTACAGTAAATTCTTCAAATGGTAGGATTTGTGCATTCTTGGGCTGAATATATTTTGATCCGGCTGGGCTTGGGTAACAGGCCGAATGTTAAATACTCATATCTGGGCTGACGACAAGCTGGGCTGATGGCTTCTTGAGTCGGCCTTGATGGAATGGTTTTGGGCTGTAAATACCCTCAACTTGGGCTTGAGCATGGTGGGCCTTATATGTCCTTGGCCTGTAGATATAGGTAGTGGTGACGTGTGCGTTTTTTATTGGAGGGAGTTTTTTTCCCTCCACACTAACCCATTTAATAATCGTGTAAGGAACCTTCAATACTAACCCGACTTGTTTATTAAACGGGTTAATGACCTGTTTATCAGAACGAGACATTTAATATTCAATTAAATAATAAATACTAAAATTTTTTTATCACAATTAACCTAAATATTCAAAATAAAAAGAAAAATCATAAGGTGTAGTTAAGATTTATGTTAAAGCGATTTAATTGTCCATGCTAATTGAATTTAAACAGGTAACATATTACATATTTCATATTAATGATTTATAACATGTTCAGACAAACGTGTATAAACGAGTTACATGTGTTGAACTCCTCAATCCTAACCGACACGGTTAACTAAACAGGTTAATTATATCAATCCGTTTATGATCCAAACTCATTTAAAATTAACTCAAACTTACTTATTTCGTATCGTGTTCGAGTCATGTTGATAAATCGTGTCGTAATTTGTCACTCCAACACAACACTTCGGTGGTAACAAGGTCAAATGAAAAAAAAAACACTACACAGTTTAATTTCGGTAGTAAATTGTAATTCTGTGGTGATGCTCTTGCGGCAATTTGCAATTTGCATTTTGCAATATGATATAAAAATAAATCAGAATCAAATAGCCGACCAGAACTGATTTTGGGCAGAGACACTTGTATTCTTTGCAAGCCAAGTCAGCATTAATTACAATATTACCCATTTTACGCCTCTCCAGGACAAAGTTCCTGAATTTCTGATCCCAGCCATTGGAAATATTGAATTAAATCTAATCCACAAGAATGCTCTTTGGATTCCTTTTGCGCTCAAGTTACATTTAAACCATAAAAAATAAATAAAAATAAATTTAAATTTAAAATTAAAAAGAGAGAGAGAAAAAAAAAGGAAATTTAACATTTTATGGTTTTGGATAACAATTACACTTCAACGACAAAAGAGTCTTTTTTTTTTTAAATAAAAAATAAAACTACTTAATTATTTAATTAAACAAAGTTAGTTTGCAAAATTAAGGTTGTTTTCCGTAAATTCCTTTTGGTGAAATTATGAGACTCTAGTTAAAAAGTAAGCAATCACATCTTAACATGTCGGTGTAATAAGAGAGAAATGTGAGTTTAAACTCAAAAGTCAAAACCAAAGTATGCATTTATTGTGTCAAAGTAAATCTTGGATGTCAAGTATTTATGAACCAAATCCCACGTAGGCCTACAATCATAATGTGATTTTTTTTATTATCGTCAATAATTGGTAGTTTGGAAAACAAAATATAATTATACATTTTTGACATATGTTAATTAAGAATAGTTATTTGTTATAATAGGCAATTGTCACTGCACTTATAAGTGGATTGTGACACATTACTATCTTCGTCTCTTATTAGTTGTCCATCTTTAGTTTTATAACTTTTTAAAGGAATATACAATTAATGCATTGTCCCATTTTAAAATTACCAAATTGTCCTTTTTAATTTAAATATATATAGTTATAAAGTTTGAAATTTTTTAAAAAGATAAAGGACAATAATGGAAATATAAAGAAAAGATACTTTGATTTTTCAAAGAGGATAACTAATTTGGGACATGTAAAAAAAGAAAAATAGACTACTAATAAGGGACCGGGGGAGTATTATTTATGGTGAGTCCACAAAAGTCTGTAAATATTGCGACAGTTATCTTTCACAACATATATAAGTTTTTATATTAATTTAGTGCAATATGATCATATATAAACGTAAAATGAAAATTTTAATTTTAAATTATATGGAGTAGTGATACTTATACTGAACACTAATTGTTTAACCGAATAATTTTAATTGGCTACTTATACCAAATACAATTAAGTAGAAGGCGTTGCATAATTGACCAATTAAAAAAATAAATCTAGTAATTTACTACAACTATTCGATGCAAGAATCATCTTCCTTATATGTAAAACCTAAGTGTTCATAGAAACTATTGTCAACCCATCCATTAATCACACCTTTCAAAAAAAAAAAAAAAAAAAAAAAAAAATCCATTGAATTTATCAACATTATATTTGAGTAGGTACCTTTATAATCACACTGTCTCTTTCCAATGTATTTAGCATGATACTGTGTTTACATCAATGAATTGAAGGTTTTGAGTTGTGTTGATGGCAGCAATGTGATTATATAAATCCAAGTGTTTGGCCATGTGGAATGTGGAATTGGAGTTTGTAATTAAAATTGTTAGAATTAAAAAAAAAAATAAGAAAATTAAATTATTATTATTTTTAAAATTTTATCAATTTTAATTTCAATACCAAAATTCTAATTTCATGCATCTGAATACAATTTTATTGAAAATATAAAATTATGAATTTTTTTAGATTACCTTTTTTTTGTTCGTATATGAGTAAAATTGATAATGAAGAGACCTTGTTACTCAACCCATTGTTTTACCTGAAAGAGGTTAGGGTGAATGATGTTGGTGGATCTCAAAGTGGGCCCATGAAGCTTTTTGATGAGGCCTAACTTATCACATATATATATATGTGTGTGTGTCTTCTAGCACACTTCTTTTGAATAAAGCCTTGCTTTAAGTTAAAGCATGTGAGGTTGAGGTCCTTTGCAAATTTGAATTAAAGTTAATCCCATCATTTCTTGACTTATACTATAGATTAGCTAGATATGTTGCTGTCCTTTGTAGCTATGGCATCCACCAAATTTTCATATTTATTAATTTTGATAAATGAATATTAATGAATACAAGTGTTCCATTTTTTATTTATTTTTATTTATTTATAGTTTTTGATAAGGACTTGTGTTTGATTGCTTCATATATACAACTTTTTAAACTTTGATAGTGCAAATATTTATGCCATAGTATCAAGGGCCTTGTGACACAGTGATATCTTTTTTATATTTCAAAATAGACGGTGAGGATTCAAATCTCCAAAAAAGCAAAATGGGTGTGTAAGTTTCTTACCAAGTGCTACAGTTACAATTGTTGTATTAGGATTATAACTTTTTAAGATGTGAAAAGACTCCTATGATTCCACGCTTGTGATTGCCAAAAAAACAAAAATAAAAAACAAGGAGCTAAAATCATAAAATCTCCTTTTACTATAAACAAAATATGTATATTGCCTCAATAAAAATAAAATACCTCCCTAATCTACAAAATTTATCATGTTATTCCAAAGTTGTATTAATTGTGAAATAACAAAACTAATCTGTTTAATGTTAAATTAAAATGTAGATAATTTTTATTTGAAAATTACAAATTTAACCTTCTTGAAGTTCATTCAAATGAAAAACAAACAATCACTAAATTATGATGCACTGGACAATTATCAGAAAAATCATCAGAGAATAACTAAAGGGAATTCGAACTCTCCACCTCAAGAAGTGAGATGAGAGCCTTTGTTATTATCAGACTATCCCAGAAAGAAGCATAATTTACTATATAAGAAATGTATGTCAATGATCACAACTCTCTCCAAGGATGGTATCTAGATTTTCATATTTGGATCAGAATCCCTTTCATTTTACTTCAAAATTATCATAAATTTCAGCAAAATTTGAAACGGGGATGTTACCTATGTATGATTGTGCAGTCAATCTCATCCAAAGGGTGAGGGACAAGTCGCACAATGCACCTACCTCTCATAAAAAATTAATTATAATTCATATTACCACCCACTATTTTTTTTTTTTTCTCTCTATTTATTGTTTTATTGGGAAAAAAAAAACTTGCACACTCATTTATTTTCACGCTACTCCAAGGATCACTACCTCTTTAAGTGAGAAGATATTACTAAATTACAGTCTTTAACAATCATATTACTACCCACTTATATTAAATTCATAATTATCATTAATATTTATATGTCGGCCAGTTATCCAAAATTTATGCATTGGCGCGATTATGGGTAGCATATTTGAAACCATTGGCATTACATTATGCCCGTGTTGACCTATTTATTTGTCAATGTCATTTCTTTGCTATCTTTTGGACTCCCCCTCAAACATCTCCTAGCCATTCATTCTGTAAACGACAGTTGTTTGTTGAACAAGGTAGTTGGACGTATAGTCCTCTCCTCTCCTCTCCTTCAATCACAGAGTTCCAACAGACGTTCCGTCAATGCCGGAGCATCTCAGAAGTAGCATATATAACAGACTTTTCACTCTTCACGAATCGCTAAAGCAAATACCATCAGCTTCGAATTTTGAATTAATCAACCAAAAAAAAAAGTAGGGTAAAGCTCTGATTCGATCGACATCAAAATGCAAGAGAAACAAGTGATGGTGGTGGGACTGGACGACAGTGCCCATAGCTTCTACGCTCTGGAGTGGACTCTCGACCATTTCTTCACTCCTCCTCAGAATGGTTTATTCAAGCTCATCGTCGTTCATGCTAAAACTGCTCCATCTACTGTTATAGCTACCCCTATGGCTTTTGGTAATTTATTTCTTCTTTCTATTCAAACCGTGCATTAACTCCCATCAAATTATTGGCTACTTCAGGTGATTTAATATTTCTTTTCATCACCCACAATTACTTAGTGTTCATTCACCGGAATACTATAAAGTCGGTATCCCTAATTTAGTGCTAAATTACTGCTCAACATTTATTTCGGTGAAAAGTAATCCTATAGAAAGCAATCATATTTGTGCGTTTTCAAAATTATAATCTATATATATAAAGCGTCGATGCTCTTGGTCTAATTTGTTTGTACAATTTTGTGGTACAAAAATGTTTATACAGGAACTGCTGATATTATACCACTTGTGGATGCTGATCTGAAGAGGGTTGCACAGCGAGTTGTTGACAAGGCTAAAGAAGTTTGTGAAAAAAAATCGGTAATAATCACTTCCATGTTATTATGTAAGAATATTGTTATTATATATATATATATATACTCATTTTTGGATACTTGCAATTATATATATCCGCAGGTACCTGATGTTGAAGTAGAGGTGATGGAAGGTGATGCCCGGAATGTGATGTGTGAGGCAGTAGAGAAATTCCATGCATCTGTCTTGGTCCTGGGAAGCCATGGTTATGGAGCTTTCAAAAGGTACAAATCCATACCAATTGCTTCATTGCACGAGGTTTAAAATTAATGTAATGTTATTAATTGTAACATTTATTTACTGATACAAATTGGCACTGATATTCTACATATGTAATGTAATGCAGGGCCGTTTTAGGCAGCGTAAGCGATTACTGCTCTCACCATGCTAACAGCACTGTAATGATCGTAAAGCAGCCCAAGACCACCGCCACCTCCCCAAAATGAGCCATTTTTATCTGCTATCTAGCTGCTACCAAATAGGTGGCTGATTGAAACAACTGCTTTGGCCTCTATTTATTATCTCAATTATGTTTTGATTCTATGCGACTTTTAATTAATATATTGTTTGGTGTAGGATGTTGCATTCATGATTAATCTCAGCAATTTCTCCATTTTTAAGTAGCAAAGTTTTTAGTTAATCAAACTTTACTGGCTCTAAAATTACTGCATCTGGTAATATAATCCAAACTGCATCAGAACATTTAACCACCACCATATTGGTTTCCAAAACCAATTTTGATGAAATGGAGCAAGATTGATGGGACGAACAAATTCCAAGAGTCAAAATCATCGTCACCCAATAGTTATTTTCACAAGTACTTTCTCAAGAGGAGACACTAATGGATGCCAACTTATACTAGATATGCTATAAATTTATAACAAGACTCACAGGCGACGTACAGTTCATTAGTCAGACTTGAACAAAACCACAATTAAGTTAAGACAAACGCATGATCCAGAAAAAGTATCAAACAATATGGCATAACCTTTTAAGTTCCACACTACCAAGGCAAGAAAAAAATGCAATAACTAAAACTGAAGCAAGCACCAATCTGAAGCTCAGTGTCACCATTTTCTCTTTCTTAACACTTGACCTCCTTTAAGCCATGTCCGAAATACAAAAATGTCGGGTCAGTGGCACCGTCTTTGTAGTAAGCAAAAACCAAGGTGCTGTCATCGTGCATGCCCTCCCCCACAAAACTGTAAAATACCATGCAACCCCATTATGGTTTTTCCTCACAACATATAAAAAATGTGAACACCAGACGATATATATGAAGGCTAATATTTGAGAGGGATTAACGGGTGATAGTCTGATGGATTGAGCATTTTGTGCAAAGAGACTAGACAGTAAGGCACTTACAATTGGAGGTCACTGAGCTTCGAGAGCAGGTACTTAGTTGCTCCCTCAATGTTCTTTTTGAATTCCTCTTGCTTCTCTGCTTCCAGCTTTGGTGTCAACGACTTGATATACTTCTTGATAAATGCAACAAACTGCTTCTTATCAAAAGCAGGTTGTTCCTATAAGTGTAGAAAGTTCATATGTTAAAACTTTAGCTTCACAAAATTTCCCAACTTCAAGAGCTGCACATGCAAGGAGCACAACTAACCTGGAGTCTGAATGTGTCAACAATGTCAACCACCTTCACAGATTTGTCATCAACACCCTCATCGTCTTCGCCACCTTCAGCAGAAGGGTTTGCACCGATATCCACATCAATAGCTCCTTGAACAACCCACTGCAATAGACAAATTATCACAATGTAATGATTGCCACATACATTGTATATTGTATATTGTATATTGTATATTGATAAAGCAACATCTAACAAATAAATCCAACTTCTAAACTAACATAACCAAGTACAACATTACTTGAGTATAGTATTGCTTGTGTGACTAATAGTATAATATGATATCAAACATTAACAAAAGATAAACAAGGGAGGAAAAGGAAGTCCTAACCTTTCCCTCGACTTCCCAGAGCACGCCGTTGTGGATTTCCTTGTATGGAAACGAATCCGAGAGAAGCTCGTCACCTGAAATTAACAAAAACATTCACATGAACAACAGTGCATGTGCTTTTAAATGCTACAGGTTCAGATAAAAAAATTAACCAAGACCAGAGAATAATTTGAACTGACTTTTGCTCAATCAAGTAACCAGGTAAACTCAGAAATACTACTGATCTTGCAAAATCAAATTCCTGGGTGAGGCCAGGCTGACATGGCAGATCATGGGTATAACAGTACCCTATATGAAAGGAAAAACAATCTCTCCAACCATCAATATCATCATCATTATCATATCAACTTCAATAGTCAATAAAACCAGAAATTCATCAAATCCCTCCACAGACTATATATTATAAACAAAACCCAGAATCTACGTCGACAACTTAAATTCATGGACACAACACCTTACTTTTTATTTCCTTTTGTTTCTTTTATTTTTATTTTTTGGTCTTTTCTTTTTGGTGGGTGGTAATGTGTTATATAAAACATAAACAAGATCCAAGTACATCACATAAAACAATTTCATGGGTCTACGATTAAAAATTTATCGGGTTTAAGGGTAAAGATATCAACTTCTCCAAAGTAGTGAAAGATAAATTAGATCTAAGTTCATCAAGTTAAGCAATTTCATGATTATGCGATTAAGAATTATTGGGTTTAAGGGTAAATATATCAACTTATCCAAATTAGTGGAAAGATAACGAGTAATTACTTCCACAAACAATTCAAACGGACTATTACGGCAGAAAAAATGGAATCTTAATATACAAATCACTCAATCACATAATAACAAGCATCAAAATTTACTCTCTTGAACTTCATATAGAATTTCAGATCGCATCATATTAAACCAGTAACAATAAATCGAATCAGGAAATCCCAATTCGGACATACATCTAATCAATCCATAATCAGGGTATTAAAGATCTAACATCAAAATACCATAAGAAATCTAATTTTTTAAGATCTAAAATCAAAGTACCATAAGAAAGCTATATTTTTTCATCAAAGTAGATTAAAAACAATTATTAAGACATATAATTGAATCTACATATGTACCAGTAAGCAAGTCCTGATACACCAACATGATTGCGAACTTGCCCTCGGATCGATCCAAACAAGGAATAGATTGCAGATAGCAAGAGGAATAAAGCGGTGAAGGAGCGAGAGAGGGTTTGCAGAGGCTTAGACAGCGAGTATATATAGCGAGGGTTTGGGGAAGAAGAGTCGGACCAGAAAGAGAATCTCAGATTACGGAAACAGGACAGACTTTTCACAAATTGCCAACCAAGTCCTTTTGACATTATTGTTGGTGTGGGCTTTTTTAATAGCAATTTTCAGCCCAACGTGCAAACGCAACCCATTTACTCGGCCTTTTTATTCCCTTTTTTTATTACATTTGGAATTGATTTTCCCATCCTATATTTTTGTTCTTACATTTTTTTTTAAATTAAAAAAAGAGACAATTGTCATTAAATACACTTTCATACTTCACTATTGTGGCAAGAAAAAAAAAACTATTACATTCTATTTTTTAGAGACATTTGTGTTATTTTTTGTTTAAAAAAATCACATGAATTTCTTCTTCTTCTCTCTCTCTCTCTCTTTATTTTTTTATTTATTATTATTATTTTTTTTTCACATGGAGTTTAAGAATATAAAACTATAAAAGGAGTGTATATGCCATTTATTATCAATTATAATGGTTGAGAAGGAACCCTTTTTTCTTATCTATTTACTAAATAAACTTTCTCCATTCATTTACTTCTTCCTTTTTGAAAAGTTGTTAAAAAACAAAATAATAATAAAAAAGAAGAAGAAGAAAGAAAATAATAATTTACGAAACAATGCAATGTTAATAATAATTTTCATAAACATACTGCTTGCAACTAAGGCAAAAGTATGAGGTATATATAGTGCTCAAAACTCCAATCAAGTAGGCTAAATCACAAGTTAAAACATTTACATTCTATATTCACAACAAAAGCAAAAACTTCAAAATTAAGCATTTGATAGAATAATCTATGGTGTTTTCTGATAATTTAATCTAGTGTTTAAATTTAAATGGATTAAGCACTTATTTAATTAAGTACGTTAATAACACAATTTGAATATTACCCGTAAGCATCACTTAAAATGGGTAAAATTTTACGTGATAGGATATCACTTATCAGTGAATACTGAATACTGAATACTGAAAATTCAATTTTTTATTTTTATTTTTATTTTTAATTATTACTTAAAAACTTTAGCACTTAGATTTCAGTTTAAAGCTTGTTGTACTTAATTTTTCAGTTTTATTAAACAACACCTAAGTGCTATTTTTTTAATTACTTGTAATATTGACATTGTATTTGGAATATTGGAAATTGAAATTCAAAATAGGTTTTGTGTTTGGAATTAAAAAATAAATAAAGGAAATTGGATTTCATGGAATTTGAAATCCCAAAGTATAGTGTCCTCAAATTTCATAAAAAAATTGGTGAAATTTGGTGGGATTTGTAAATTAGTTTAGTTGTGAGTTTGCAACTTGCCTAATTTGTTCTTAGTGAAATATAAGATTGTAATTCTAATTAATTTCCAATATATTCCAAACATATATATTTTGAATCAAATTAAGTTCATTGTTTTTCCTTTTTTATTTCCGAATCTTAAAAGAATTGGGTTACAACAAAAGTGTTATGAATATCAGTCATGATAAATGAAACATCTTTTATATTTTGAAATGTTCATTATTATTATTTTTTTTGGGTAAATAAATGTTCATAACTTCACATGCGCATAACTAAGGTTCGCGGTTGCGATATTAATTGCCGATGTGGTTGCAGTATAATGGAATCCGGCCTGTATCGACGTTACGTAATGAAATCGATTATGACAAGTTGAGAATTTTTTCCATCTCGCACATCGGGACTAAAGTGTACTAATACACAATTTTTTGCAACATAATCCAATAAATATCATATTTTAGTGATTTTTCTTAAATTTTTTAAGACCTGCAAGTAATGAAATATTTATAATTTTTAAATCATTGTTCTAATTATATTTTTTATAAAATTAATTAACTATAATAGATTTAAGCATTAAATAAATGTTCATTCATACCATATTAATTAGTTAGCTTCCTTGAAGAACATAAAAAAATAAAATAAAAATTGTTCTACCATTTCCATAAAGTAGCCCAAAAAAAAAAAAAAAAAACTGATTTTGAAACAATGAAATTGTTAAAATAATTTTATAAACGTACTATTTTCATATTTGGATGTCTGGAATTTGAATTTTATTGGGGCCACCCTCAGAGTATTTTTTAGATAACTGTCTGTGTATGTGAAAAGGAGATTGTAAACATGTGCTCGTTATTGCGTTATGAACCATTGTAGATAAAACAAAAAATAAAAATAAAAACAAAAACTCAAATTTTTTTTTTTAAAAGAGAGCAAGTAACTTGACTCTTGTCAAAAGATGTGGGCCAGGAAATATATATATCTATATATATATATTTAAAAAAAGAACAAGTAATTTATGGCAAACATACATTAAACTGAAAAACTAGGGAAAAAGTTTGAGATATGGTACTCAAAATTCCAACCAAGCAAGGTAAATCACAATTTAAAAGATTCATAGATAACAAAAGGAGAGAACTTCAAAATTAAGCATTTGAAAGAATAATGAAGTGGCAAATTTTCTCTCAATTGTGATATGCACAAATACATATGTTTATTATACATGAAGCATCTTTATAATTTAAAAGAAATGATATGCATCTAACGGGCGCCTTAAGGTTGTTTTTTTTTTTTTTTTTCTCCTACCGACAATCCGAAACTGTTATAGAAGACTCTGAAAGTATGAAATTCTAGAATCTTTTAAGTGTTGTGAAAAGTAGGACTGATTCTAAAATGTTAGTATTTTGTGGTGTTAGAGATATTTGTATACAGAGTTGTAGAAGGTAAAAAAAATGTCTATATAAGGAAAAAAGATAAGGAGTATTATCAATTTCTTTATAATGATAATAGTTGTATTATCGATCTATTGCCATCAAGCCTGGTGAATGTGAAGCTTTAACAACATCTAACAAGTCTCCCAAACATGAGATACTACTAACAAAATTTCATAGAACTATTTTGACTCTAACAAGGTATTCTCAATTTTCTTATAACATGTCTCGTGAACATCTAACTCTAACAATATCAAGTCACTAAATCTGCTGACCAATCGACGCGCTGACTCTTGTCGGTAATAAAGTCATGGACAGCTGCACGACTTTTATGAAAAAGGTTTACAATTTCCCAGAAGTCTTTTACGTAAAACCCACTAACGCGAGCTTTTCTAATCCTTATATATATATATATATATATATATATATATATATATATATAGATTTATATACATTTATTATGATATATATATTTAAAAAAAAAACTAATACTACGTACTTACGTACTTATTAATAATAATAATATTATTAATTACCCACCAATAAACCAAGTTAATTAATTATCGAAAATAACCAAGTTAATTACTTTAATCTTCATCTACTTATAGAGATTATTAATATAATCATTAATATTGGGTAGAAATTTTTTTTAATGGCTGTGGAGTTTTATTCTTAATTACCTTATATACTGGGAAGTACTGTTTATAAAAAAATTAAGATGGTAATTTGTACCATTATCCCCCACTTTAAATGTTAAGATGGTCTATTTGATATGTACGTGTCCTCCACCTGAAATTTTAACCCCCACTTTAAATGTCCTTTGCATGCTATTAATCTATTCAAAATTAAGAACTCCATCTTGTTATCAAACAACTCCGCCTTCAAATCTAATAAAAAAACACCAATCTTTTGCATGGAGTATGATATCTACATTTTTTAGGACAAAATTTTATTCACTCCCTTCAGGTGGAAATATTACCTCCAAATAATTGACAGATTACTTTTATTTCAAAAGGTTCTGGTCTGAAGGAAATATATATAGATATATAAAGAATATTTTGGAAAGTTAGTTCAAAATTTAATTTATTTCAAAATATCAATTAAACAAGGCATGGATCCCCACGGTATCACAAGATTCAAGAAAATCATTATCATGAACCGTAGCACAGACAATAAAAACTCATGGACACATATTAATTCCATATTTGACCGTACGTCCTTGTTACTAGAATTGGCAATTAGAAATGTTGGACACGAAGCATTCTGGTTGCTTCACGAGTGTCCATAACCAGTGTCTGTATATATAGCAAGTCAGTGGATATACATACATACATATATATATATATAATTATTGTAGTATCTGTATATATACCTGAGTGTGATTATAGTATCTGCATATATACTACTCTTCATCATTTTCTTTGTTTGTTCTCAACAATCAATTCTAGGGTTAATTTTCAGGAAAAAAAATAAAAATTCAAGGGTTTTTGAGTTTGAGCTCTCTTTTTCTTTGCCATGGCTCAAGGAACAGCATCATCATCGTCGTCATCCATGGACACTGAATCTTCTGCTCCACAGTGCTCCATCTGCTTAGAGGTTGTTGTTGATAACCATAGGAGGTCAACAGCAAGACTTCAATGCGGTCATGTTTTTCATCTTGGTATGTCACATTTCATTTTTTCAAATCTAACCATACATGCATACACATGACAATATATAAACATATAAATATATATTTATTTTCACATGCAGCACATTGTTTATATTCTGTACTCGGTTGAAGATCCCCTTGATTATATATGTATTTTCTCTTTATGCATAAAATTCTTTTACATCTTAATTTTCTTTTCTAAATTTTTATTTTTTATTTTCTCCTTTTGTTTTGCTTTTTTATTATTTCCTCTTTTTGGATTATTAATTCTTTACTTTAAAAGAATGTATTGGAATTACTGTAGATCTATGAAAGATCGATCTGTAGTTGAACACAGTGGTTTTTGAGATTTGGAAACCCAAGTTATCTGCATGTGTCATTTTAAGAGTTTGGTCGTAGCTCTTTTGACAATTTTAGGTGCGTTCATGATAAAGATTTTAAGTGCTTCAATTGTAAAGGAGGGCTGATTGGGGGTATAAACCACATGCTTGCATATATAAAATAGTATATATGCAAATGGAAAAATTCAGGTAAAAATCATTATTTTCAATATGAGCACGGATAGACTCACCGAATTTGGTGAGCCGAATCACTATTTTGAATTATTACAATAGTGCATCTGAAGGTTAGAAGTCCTTCGGAGCATTGAATTCGGGGAGAGAATCATTTTTCTTCCCATGCAAACTTTCCGTTATACAATTTTGTTATGCTGAAATCCAACAAACTGTCTTTCTAAATGACAGTAATGCTTTTTAATTTTTCTGTGGACGTATTAGGGAAAGATTTTAAATGTTATTAATTTCAAATATCTAAGATAATAATTTATTAAATTTATATAAAATAGTTAGGATGTAAATAAGGGTTAAATAGATCTTCAAGTATAAATTTTTGTGGTCGATCTCGAGAATTCTTTTATGTTTGTTACTTTACTCACTAAAGCACACACGTATAGAGTAGTAGGTTGGACATGATTTATTTATTTTTTGCACATAAAATCATTGTTGAAGTTTAGTACTTAACTTTGTAATGCAAAATTTACATTTGAAGCTAAAATTCCATAAACCTCAAGATAATCATATTCGCTAGCTTTATTCACTTAGTAACTTCTATTTAATATTGACGTCATTCGTTTTTTTTTTTAAAAAGAAGAAGCTACTATTGACATCCTTTGATCAAGAATATATTACTAATTCTATCGTTCAGGAGACATATTGATGTGAATATTCTTTATTTCCAGCTTACTTAATTTGAATACGAAATTATTTCATTTTGTACCATAAAGTTTACTAATGCTTGGACAAATCTTATGTTTTTTTAATGTTTTCTGCCAGATTGCATTGGCTCTGAGTTCAACATTAAAGGGGCAATGCAGTGTCCAAACTGTCGGGTAACAGAACACGGCAAATGGCTATTTGCTGCGGGAGGTTTTGATCAAAGCATTGATAATGAAGATGACGATGAGCTTCATCCACTTAACATGGTAAAGCCTTTGTCACACTTTGTGTGTGATTTTTTTTTTTTTTTCCGTGTCAAACTAATAGTCACAGCAAAAAAACACTAGATATTGTAGATTCTTCAGTGAATGTTATATATTACTACGTAATAAGTTATGTATGCAATTACAAATCTGCTAGCATATAGTACAGTCCAGGTGTTATGTAAAAATGACTGATAACTAGATGTTTTTATGATTTGTTGCTATGGAAGAGAAAGTAGTAGCTTGTATCTATTTCCGTATTTGATCTGCAATGGTGTTTTACTCTAGTATCAAGGCTCTAGTTGATCCTCATAGCCGTTATATTCTTTAAGAGTGATGATACTCTAATAGAAGGAAACCACTTAACTGTTGTTCAGTTAGGGTTAGGGATGGCAACGGGGCGGGGCATGGGTTTGTCTAAATCCATTTCTGCACCGTTTAATTAATAAGAATACCATACCCGGGATGGATTAATTTCACAAAGCCTATACCCGCCTCATTGGGAGATAAGTGAACTCGTAATTGCCCCATCCTGCCTAATTTATGCATTTTTTTTATTGTGAGCCTAATGTCACGCACTGCCTATGGAGGTTGCGACACGCAGGCGCTGAGTAGGAATCTGCATGGCGATTGCATGGCATGAGAGTTTCTAGAGTCTTCCGGAATAGTCTAGAATTGTGTAGAAGATTCTAGATATGTGTAGAAATGTGTAGATATGTGTAGTATATTCTAGAGTTCTCCAGAATTGTGTGGAGTAATATGGAGAGTTCTAGAATATTGTAGATACTTGTAGATATGTATGAAAATGTGAAGAAGGTGGGATAAGATTCTAGAGAATCGATCTTCACAGTCGGTTAGAATGCATTCTAGCCGTCCATTAGGGATGGGGGTGCCTATAAATAGGAGTAAGACTTCATTTTGTAGCCATCAAGTCCTAGAGTGAGTCTTGAGAACCTTGTAGAGAGTTTGAGAACTAACCTTGTACAAAGCATTCTTTGAAGTAACAGAAGTGTTCCTTCCTTACCAACTTAAGTGCCTTAGTGTGTGTGAGTGTGCAAGCCAAGTGAGGAGAGGGCGAGAGCCACTACAACACTAGTAAGCGCACGAGGGGAGTGCGTTGGCTAAGGTGGGCATGGGAGTTAAGCTGCCTAAGTACTTGCGAGAGTAGAAAGAACGTTTTGGTGCCGCACGGTAGTAGCTAGAGTAGTGCTGAAACTCTAAGCCCGTGACAATTGGTATCAGAGCAGGTTCGTGAAGGAAGCTTCGTTGGAGTAGACATGGCTAGCGGAGGAGAACACCATATCCATGTCTTGGAGCAGAGCTTGGAAGAGAAGCTTGCCACACACTTGGTTTACACGGAGACCAAGTTTAACAGGCTCGAGAGAAAGATGGCGGAGCTTTACGAGTTGATTGATAGCATCACTAACAAAGCACGAGAGAAGGAAAGGGATTTGCATGATCGGGTAGACGACTTGCGCGTGGAGATTGCCGAGTGCAAGAAGGAGTTCTCCCAGGCGCGTGAGGTCGTGGTGAAGCCAAGGAAGAAGGAGGCGTCAGAGCCCAAGGAATATGATGGGGCAACGAATGCTCGCCAAATTGACAACTTCTTCTGGCACATGCAGCGGTACTTCGAGTGTATGGAGATCGAGGATGATGAGAAGAAGATGCAGACATGCACTATGTACCTCACGGATACTGCCGCTCTATGGTGAAGGCAACGCTTCACCGGTAGGGGCGCAAGAGCAATTGACAAATGGGAGGAGTTCAAGAGGCCGCTCAAGAGATAGTTCTACCCCGAGTACGTCGAGAACCTCACCATGATCAACTTAAGGCACCTGAAGCAGAAGAGCAACATAAGGGAGTATGTGAATGAGTACTCCAATTTGATGTTGGAGATCCCAGAGATGTCGGAGCGGCAACGCGTGTGCTTGTTCATAGATGGGTTGCAGTCTTGGATGGCCACAGAGCTTAGGAAGAGGGAGCCTAGAGACTTGGCATCTGCTATGACTATAGCGGAATGCCTTGAAGACTTTAGGTATGATGACAAGAGTGCCACGTCTCCTAGGAGGGACCACGACAAAGGTAGGGGAGATCGGCACTCCAAGAAAGGGGGCTCGCCCAAGTCCAGCGATGATGAGCCCAACGATGAGGACAGACGCCCATGCTATGACAAGGGCAGGGGCCATGGAAAGAGGTCCAAGGCCAGTGGCAAAGGGGAGCGCCGCGACAAGGCCAAGTGGGAGCTGAAGTGCTATTTGTACGATGGGCCGCACATATTGCGACACTGCCCCAACAAGAAGATTATGAGCGCCTTTGTGAAGGATAAGGGCAAGGGTAAGATGGACGATATGAGCAGCGACGAAGATAGGTGCATGAGGGCTATGCAGATACTGAGCAGCATGACACATGACATAAAAAAGAAGGGCAAAGTGAAGAAGATAGCCGGGGTGCGCTATGTGGATGCGCAGGTTGGTGGCAAAACCGTACAAGTGTTGGTGGATACGGATGCCACACACAACTTCGTTACCCCGAAGGAGGCGCAGCGACTTGGCTTGGAGATGCGCAAGACGGAGGGCTGGATCAAGACTGTCAACTCCGAGGAGGCACACATGAGCAGAGTGTTCAAGGAAGTGGAGCTATGCATGCAAGGGTGGAAGGGCAAGGCCGACTTCCAGGTTGCGAGATGGACGACTACGACATGGTGTTGGGGCTGGAGTTCATAGACAGGAATAACGCCGCACCACTACCATGCCTTGGTGTTTTGATGATACTTGGAGGCAAGGAAGACAAAACCGCATGCATGGTGCCGCTCGTGGGTAGGAAGGAGAGTCCAGAGGTGGCAGTCAACACGATGGAGCTCGTGAGGACCTCACATCTCCCGAAGGGCGCGCGTACGTTTGGGCCAAGGACATATGCGTAAGCGCTGATGACCTGCAAGAGGCTGGGTCAGCTAAAAAAACCGTGACGAAAGTGTCACGGAAATGGGTGGAGAAGAATGTTACGCCCCGCCTATGGAGGTTGCGAATCACAGGCGCTGAGTAAGACGCTGCATGACGATTGCATTGTATGGGAGTTTCTAGAGTCTTTCGGAATAGTTTAGAGTTGTGTAGAAGATTCTAGATATGTGTAGAAATGTGCAGATCTGTGTAGTATATTCTAGAATTCTCTAAAATTGTGTGGAGTAATATGGAGAGTTTTAGGATATTGTAGATACTTGTAGATATATATGAAAGTGTGAAGAAGGTGGGAGAAGATTCTAGAGAATCGATCTCCACCGTTGGTTAGAATGTATTCTAGCCGTCCATTAGGGATAGGGGTGCCTATAAATAGGAGTAGGACTTCATTTTGTAGCCATCAAGTCTTAGAATGAGTCTCAAGAGCCTTGTAGAGAGTTTGAGAGCTAGCCTTGTAAAAAGCTTTCTTTGAAGTAATAGAAGTGTTTTTTCCTTTCCAACTTAAGTGCCTTAATGTGTGTGAGTGTGCAAGCCAAGTGAGGAAAGGGTGAGGGCCACTACAACACTAGTAAGCGCACGAGGGGAGTGCGTTGGCTAAGGTGGACACGGGAGTTAAGCTGACCAAGTACTTGTGAGAGTAGAAACAACGTCTTGGTGTCACACGGGAGTAGTTAGAGTGGTGCTAAAACTCTAAGCCCGTGACATTAAGCTCATCTTACGAAATAAAAAAGTTTTCCATATCCGTTCCATTAAAAGCGGGCAAGAAATATGGTTTGGCGAACAAAATTGTTATTGCTATGTCCAGTCTTTAGATGCATCTTGTGGGACCCAATTGGACACTTCCGTTGGTTTCTTCCACTATTTATTTTGCTTTTAGGATAGTTTTCCATTATTAATTTGCAATTTTATGCCTCATATGAGACCTAGGATTCAACTCTTGTCTCCATGTTTATGTCATACAACTATATCAATAATGTCTTTGACTTGTTTCCTTTAACATTACTTCTTACTGTAATATTTTTGACTTTATTTCTTTTAACATTATTTTTTACATGTTTTGATTAATTCTGGCTTTACAGAATCCACCTGCACCTCAAGAACCTGAGTGGTCCCCCTTCAATGGATACTCAGAAGCTCCTCCAGCTTGGGGGTAAAATCATCTCTCACGTGCTCCCTCCTTTTATTATTATGCTATAGATAAAATAAATAATATGATAAAGTCTCCATAAATCTAGTGTGTGTGTGTGTTTTTTATAGTTATAATTAATTACAAATATAAACTTTGAGGTTTCAAATATCCTTAAATTTTATTCCTCTTCCACTATCCAACTTAACTCACAATTCCCACTTATTGTTCTACCAAGTAAGTTCTCAACTTGGTCATTTTTTTCCTGAATAATATCATTGCCTCGGGTTCTTGGTTGTCTTTACCAACCAAAATGTTGAATCGAATACAGTGAGGCTGCCTTAGCACTAGATCTGTCATTGGATTGGATAATCCCTCCGTTACTTAAAACAAATCGGATATGAATTTGGTATAGCTAAATAATTGCACCTCCATAATTTTTTGAATTGTAACTCAAAGAATTCACATTGTGACAAAGCAAATTGGGTTGAACAGTCCATATAGTCTAACAACCTCATTTATCTGACATATTGTTGCTTTGTATGTTGCAGGGGAGGGATCTATATCCATACTCCAAGTAAATTTCTGGTTTTCATTTTTAGATATTCAAATTTTTTTTTTTTTTTTTTGGCAAATAATTTACATAAACAGCTTGTTTAAAATTATTATGAAAATCATTTTCTTAATTATACAGATGCGACGGAAGATGTCTTAAATATTTTTGCAGGCGCTTCCAATCCTCTTGTTTATCATTGGAATGGCCACCAAATGGCGACAGGGTATCCGATGCACGGCCACCAAATGGCCACAGGGTATCAGATGCCCTCTTCCATGAATGACAATAATATTCAACCTCACCAGCAGACTTGGATTCCCCAACCTCCATTCCCTTCAATGGGTAACAGTAACAATAACAATATAACTGCTATCAACCAGTCCTTCAATTCTCCTCCAATTTTAGAGTTTTCTGGGACATTTTCTTACAGGTCACCTACTCCGCTGTCCTCTGCACCACCTGCCATAAGCAATCACTGGTAAGTTATAATTTCACATTTGCCTTCAAAATTTTACAGCTAAGGTGATTCCCTCTATAATTTTGTGTTACATTTTTCCTATTCAATGTCATGATGTTGTCCTTTCATGAACCTCATGGTAATAGGTCTGCTCCTGCTGGAGCTTGGGGTTTTACTGGCACTTCTTCCGGTTTACCTTATCCGGGAAGCAATGTTGGTCCTCCTCTGACTTGGCCTCGGATTCCTAGTCGGCCATTCCAATCAAACTCGCCATCTCCAGCTGTACTTGCTTCCATGTCAAGGCGCAGGAGGAATCCCGGCAACCGGAGGTTCATGAATCAAACAAGGCCTTCCCCAGCATCAGTAGCTGATGAGCAGACTAGTGGTTTCACCATGTTTCCTTCATCAGAGCTTTCCGGTAATAATGCACCAAATCAAGTGTCACTGCCTCGAGGATCGACTATGCCTGATCACGGTATGCAGCTGTGGAACACACCTGAAAGCATGCCGCCGGAATATCAAACAGATGATGAAGAGGAGGAGGAGGATGATGAGGAGGAGGAGGAGTAGAGAGCAACGTACAATGATGAAGATCAAGAGGAGGTGCAGAAGAAGAGAGCTAGTGTATTAGAACAAATTGTTTGCTGATCAGATGTATGTGATGAATAATGGAGTATGTTGGACTGATGAATTTGAATTTGCTACATTGTGGAGTTTAAATTGATAAAATAGAGAAAGACTATGGCTTAATTTCTTGAAACCATTTAGTCACTGAAATTGATTAGTAGTTCCTACTATATAATATATTATTAGTTAAGTTTTTCAATTAATATTATATATTTCATTCTCTTATTGTTATTATTACATTCTCTAATCAGATTTCTTTTTATTAAATTAAATAAATTATTTTTTGACATTATATATTTCATTTTGGAATTAGATGTTCTTTTATTGAATATCAGTAGTTTAATTTTTTAGTATTATACATTTTCTTCTTCAATTATTAAAATTTAATATATGTTACTACTATATTATTATTATTAGAATTTGCTTTTTGAATTATATTTTCTTTTATTGAATTAAATAAATAAGTGAGCATACCCATGAGAATTCGAAACTAGAGAGACAAGAACATTAGTCATCAATTTTCTTCTAAAAAAAGGCTGAAGTTTGAGGGTGCGTAAAAAACAAGTAAATCGAATATTGCTAAAAGATCAATGGGGTCAAAAGTGGGAACGCATAGTGAATTTATAATACAACCAAAAAGATCGATTCATTTACTTTGGTCAATGTTTTGTGATAGCTGATTGTACCATGTCAGAGTTCCAACGTTAAAACCGTTGTAATACATAATTTCTTCCAAAATATATATATCTGACGTAACTAAAGTTCAAAAAATTAAAAATAAATATTTGATTTCAAATTACGGCATTGAGCGACTAAATCTAAGCTAACAATATTGACATATGAATCTGTCAACCAATCCAGCTAGCTGTTGCCGCCAATATTTTTATTGAATAAATGAAGTCTCCCAATATTATTACTGAATAAATGAAGTCACACACACACCTACGCGATATTTTTTTTTTTTAATTTTTTTGAAAGTAAAAGTAATTGTATTTTTTTTTTTTTTGTGTAAGTGGAAAAGTAATTGTATTGACCTACACGGCTTTTATGAAAAGAATTACTGAGTTTCTAAAATACGTTCACTAAGAATTCTCGGAGATTAGTCGGGTTATTGAGGGGCCCTAAGAGTTCGTGCCATTTCGGACACCCGGGATAAAAGAAGAAGAAAGAGAGAAAGAGGAAAAAAAAAATAAATAAATAAAATAAAATGTTTTCTCACGCTATAGTGCTATACAAATGCCTGTTACTTATGTCTTGCATGAGGTGAATCTGTGGACCACATTTTCTTCGAATGTCAATATAGTAGCATTGTGTGGGAATTTGTTCAGCGTGCTGAAGGTTTTTACATCAAACCAGACAATTGGAGGGACCTAGCTTATTGCTTGGTGCTCATCAACTTGGACTCAGAACAATTTATTACTCATAAGCTTCTTCTCTCTTGTGCCATCGATCTACTTCGAAATGCAAGAGCATTTAGGAACAAATCAGCCTTAACACACCATATCATCCATCTCATCAAAGGATGTATCATAGCAAGGTTTGCTTCTCTTAAGTTAAGAAACGTACAGTGCTGAGTTAAGGAAGATTGACTCATTTGAGGCTTTGCACCAGCTCTTCATGCAAGGATGTTCCTTTGCAAGCGGTCAATCATGGTTTCTAATGTGATTTGGTCTTGATTATCAACACGTGCTAGGGGGCCGGGGATGAGAGTAATTTACTCTCTTGCTGTTTACAGAAGAACTGGAGCAATTAAATTGTAATTTGTACCTTGTCAAGATGTTTTGGATTACCAGCTGGTATTCCCTTGTAGTATCTTTGTTTTGCATCTGTACTGGATCTCATTGTTGTAGGTCCTTTGTTCTGCTTTGTTTAGTCAAATGTGGCTCTGCCATGGAGAATTAATGTTCCTTTGGCAGTGCTCATTTGGCTTAAAATGTATATATTTTTCTTTTTATTAAACCACCCCCAACCCCCCCCAAAAAAAAAAAAAAAAAAAAAAAAATTGTTTTCTCACGCTTATATTATACTAATAAAATATAGATTCATAATATATTATATCCACATCTTGACAGACACACACACACATACATATACATTTATAATTATATTAATTATTTAGTATTTTTTAAAAGAATTAGTATTAATTAGCAATAATAGAATCATTAATTATCTACCAACATACCAAGTTAATTTATTTATAGGTACTATTAATTTAATTATTAAATATTGTTTAGAAGACTAATTTTACTTAATGTAGAATCTTATTCTTAATTAGCTTATATTCTATATGTAAGATTGTTTATTAAAAAAATCAACATGTCAAATGAAAAAAAATAATAATATTAATAAAAATCATGCAAAGAACCCCCTGAACTATGTCAAAATTTGCAAATAACCTCTTGAAGTATATTTTATGCATAAAACCCCCTGAACTACTACATTTAGTTGTAAAATGCCTGAATGCCTTGACTATATTTCATTAAATGACCATAATGTCCTTTCTTATTGAATTTCACTTAATCTATTTTTCTTATTGAAATAAATTTTGAAACAAAATTCATACTAATTTGATGACATATTTTTTATTAAATTTGCATAAATTTACCTTTAATTTTTTAAATAAAAATCTTAAGTATAAAATTTAAAATAATTTAAGTAATTTCTTAATTTTTCATGAATATATTGCATAAAAAAGGTGATGCGACCCGAGCGTGTGCACAAAATAATGCACAACACTTTGGTTTTGGAAATGGTATCAAGCGGGTATCATAGTTTACATTTATAAACCGCTAGACACTTATACTATATAATATGAAATGAGAAGGGATCGTTCCTAAGGGATTGAATACGTGTTGGGATTAAACTTGATTTTAGTGCTAATGAGATTGTACATGAGAGAGAGAGAGAGATTTTGGTGAAGTGATTAAACTAGAATTCAATTAAAAGCATGGAAATGGAAATGACAATGCAAGTAAATTAAACTAAGAATTAAAGAGATAGGAAAAGAGTCTTAGGGTTAGGATTCACCACTAAGCTCATGTAATTAACCATTTGCTTTCAATTAATGGGGAAATTGTTAGTGTAATTATAGATGTAGCCACATTATCATCACAAATCACAATTGTAAGTATAGATTATCAACATTAAGAATGAGTTGTCTACTTAATGACAATTAAACTAAAGTGTAAAATTCATTCAAGACTATGTCATAACCCACCATACACATTTACAAATGTATCCAATAAGAGCACACATCACTCAAGAGAATAATACTAATTGTAATTAGAAGTATGGATTAATATAATCAAGCACAAATTGCCTACTTAACTACAATTAACTAATGACAAGTAAGCTAATTTGTAAAACAACCCATCATGATTAAGCCTTTATCCATCAAATTAATTAACAATTGTATCACATAAGTACTATGTCATGGCCATCACTAAACACAACTATAAGAAGTATCTAGTGTAGAGTATAATTCTAAATCAATCACACATAGACATGCAATTTACATATAGAATCAATGGAAGAATTAATTTTCAATCATCTCATGAAGAATAAAATTCCTAATTAATCATACATAGACATATAATCAACTAGAGATTTCAATGAAAAATTCCTTAATTTGTCAAATCAAGCATGTATATATAAAGAAATCACAAGGCCATACAATTAATTACTACATATTAATTTCCCAAGAAAAGAAATACAAAAGTTTAGGTTACATGAACATAGGGCTCATCCAAGCCCTAAGTGAAGAACTAGCTCATGGAGGAGATGATCATGGTGTCAACAAGCTCCATTTCCATCTTTTGGCTCCTTCTTCTTCTTCTTTCCATTGTAGACAGAGCGTCTGTAAAACTTCTTTAAACCCTAACTTTTTCTTTCTTTTGCTTTTTCCAGAGAGCATAAAAATAATACGATATAGAAAACTAATCCTCCCCTCTTTAATAAATTAAAAACTCTTTAAATAAAATAAAAACTAACCCTAAACTAATGGCTCACTGGGCCTTAAGTAACAAACCCTATTAAAGCCCATAAGTTACAAATATAAGCCAAAAATAAGAAAATCCTGTAATGCTGCCAGGTACTGGGGGATTGATCCCACAGCCTTGGGGATTGATCCCCCAAGGGCATTTTTAGTTTTGTGAATAGTGGGGGATCGATCCCCCGGAGTTGGAAATTTCCTTTAAGCCTTATTTAGCTCCATTTTGGTCCCGGGCTAATTGGTTTGCTTCTTCATCTTTGGGAACATCATCAAAGACCCGAGATTGACCGCTTTTGAAGAATAAACACACTATAGAGCAATGGGCCGCAACCTCTTTTTGCCATTTTCTGAACTTTTTCTGAATGTCTTTGCTTGACTCTAAAAAGGCTTTAGTGAATCAAAATTAGTCTGTTTGAACCTTATTAACCTAAAATTGACAAAAACATAAATTAGAATTAAAACATGAAAATAAGATAGATGAAATGACTAAAATACCCTAGTTTAGGTGCTGAAATGTGCAACATTTAAGAACTTATCAAAAGGTATTTTATTTGAATAATTTATTAAATTTTCATGAATATATTGTATGAAAAAGAATATATTTTTATGGTAAAAATGTTTGAAGTGGGTATAATATAATAAGTTTTATTATAAATAGTCTAGTTTTAATAATAAGTTACTCATTTTAGAAAATGGTAGTTACAAATTTATTATTATTATTTTTTCATTTTTATGATAAATTGATACTAATAATAAAATTAAGATAAATGGTATAATTAATATTTAGATAAGAGAAAAGACAATAAATAAAATTTAATAAGAAATGATAAATGTAATGAGAAAGGGTAAAATAGTCTTTTATGATAAATTTGTCCTTAATTGCAACAAATTAATAGTTCATGGGTGTTATTTACAAAAGGGCAATAGTTCAAAGTTTTTTTAAAAAAAAAAAAACTTTACCCCTAATTTAATTTACTAAATTTGTTAATTAGAACACCAATGTTTTACCCCTAAAGAATTATTTGTACTCAAAACGAGTCAAACCTTATTACAATATTACATTAATTAAGTACTAAAAATCTAAAAAATTTGAATTTTAAATGCTGAAAATTTTAAGTGGTAA